AGGAAAAAAAATCCCTCCCCCATATTTTTCGACCAACTTATGATTCATCACCCCCAAACTCAATCCCATCCTTCCCTTTGTGGTATGGTACCTTGCAGTACAATTTCAGAGAGATCCATACACTTGAACACAAGTTATTGTCTCGAAACTAGAAAAATGCTTGTTTTTAGGCCCCTTTTTGGCCCCAAATTCCTAAACGTTTAGGGCATTTACCCCCAAACTAAATCCAGCTTTCCCTTTGAAATATAGAACCTTGTAGTACAATTTCATAAAGATCCATACACTTACACACAAGTTATTGTCCTGAAACTAGAAAAATGCTTGTTTTTTGCCCCTTTTTATCCCCTATTTCCTAAAATTTTGAGGCAATTACCCCCAAAATCAATCCAAGCCTTCCCTTTGTGGTATGGTATCTTGCAGTACAATTTCAGAGAGATCCATACACTTGAACACACGTTATTGTCTGGAAACTAGAAAAATGCTTATTTTTGGCCCCTTATTCCTAAACGTTTTAGGCAATTACCCCCAAACTCAATTCCAGCTTTCCCTTTGTGATATGACACCTGGTAGTACAATTTCGTAAAGATCCATACACTTACACACAAGTTATTGTCATGAAACTAGAAAACTGCTTGTTTTTTGCCCCTTTTTGGCCCCTAATTCCTAAAATTTGGAGGCAATTACCCCCAAAATCAATCCTAGCATTCCCTTTGTGATATGGTACCTTGTGGTACTATGTCAGAGAGATCCATACACTTACACACAAGTTATTGTCATGAAACTAGAAAACTGCTTGTTTTTTGCCCCTTTTTGATCCCTAATTCCTAAAATATGGAGTCAATTACCCCCAAAATCAACCCCAGCATTCCCTTTGTGATATGGAACCTTGTGGTACTATGTCAGAGAGATCCATACACTTACACACAAGTTATTGTCATGAAACTAAAAAAATGCTTGTTTTTTGCCCCTTTTTGGCCCCTAATTCCTAAAATTTGGAGGCAATTACCCCCAAAATCAATCCCAGCAATCCCTTTGTGATATGGAAACTTGTGGTACAATGTCAGAGAGATCCATACACTAACACACAAGTTATGTCTGGAAGTTACAAAAATTCGTAAGGGTTCCGCGGAACCCAGTGTCTCGCCTACTTTTTCTGTTAATCGCAGGCTCAACAAAAATGAGGAAGTAAATCAATAAAAATATTCCTCTTGATACTATCTTTTGATTGTAAGAAGCTTCTGTCCAAGTTTGGTAAAAATCCAGGATAGTTTATGAATCTAATAAATGTTTAAAAACTTTAACTGCAGACTGAATGTAATGTTAACTGGAAGAAAACAAAATTTCCTTCTAGATACTGGCATTTGATCATAAACAAGCTTTTGTCCAAGTTTGGTACAAATCCAAAATAGTATAAGAAAGTTATTAAAATTTTAACAAGAGTGCACACGCTGAAATGACTCGCCTTCTTTACTAACCATTGATATTATGTTGATAGTCCTAAATGAGAGCTTTACTACAATTATTACATAAACTTAACATGATCCAAGAAAATGAAGTCAAGGTCATATAAACCAAACGAGAAATACATGTACACCTTACAATCATTCAATACACTAAATATAGTTGACCTATTGCTTATAGTTTCTAAGAAACAGACTTAACCAAGAAAACTAAACATTGACCAATGAATCGTGAAAATGAGGTCAAGGTCAGATGAACCATGCCAGGCAGACATGAACAGCTTACAATCCTTCCATACAACAAATATAGCTGACCTATTGCTTATAGTTTAAGAAAAACAGACTGAAACACATAAACTTAACACTGAGCAATGAACCGTGAAAATGAGGTCAAGGTCAAATAAAACCTGCGAGACTGACATGTACATCATAGAATATTTCCATACACCAAATATAGTTGACTTATTGCATAAAGTATAAGAAAAAAGACCAAAACTCAAAAACTTAACTTTGACCACTGAACCATGAAAATGAGGTCAAAGTCAGACGACACCTGCCAGTTGGACATGTACACCTTACAATCATTCCATACACCAAATATAGTAGACCTATTGCATTAAGTATAAGAAAAACGGACCAAAACACAAAAACTTAACTATAACCGCTGAACCATGAAAATGAGGTCAAGGTCAGATGACACCTGCCAGCTAGACATGTACACCTTACAATCATTCCATACACCAAATATAGTAGACCTATTGCATACTGTATAAGAAAAACAGACCAAAACACAAAAACATAACTATAACCACTGAACCATGAAAATGAGGTCAAGGTCAGATGACACCTGCCAGTTGGACATGTACACCTTACAGTCCTTCCATACTAGACCTATTGCTTATAGTATCTGAGATATGGACTTGACCACCAAAACTTAACCTTGTTCACTGATCCATGAAATGAGGTTGAGGTCAAGTGAAAACTGTCTGACAGGCATGAGGACCTTGCAAGGTACGCACATACCAAATATAGTTATCCTATTACTTATAATAAGAAAGAATTTAACATTACAAAAAATCTTAACTTTTTTTTCAAGTAGTCACTGAACCATGAAAATGAGGTCAAGGTCATTGGACATGTGACTGACGGAAACTTCGTAACATGAGGCATCCATATACAAAGTATGAAGCATCCAGGTCTTCCACCTTCTAAAATATAAAGCTTTTAAGAAGTTAGCTAACGCCGCCGCCGCCGTAGCCGCCGGATCACTATCCCTATGTCGAGCTTTCTGCGACAAAAGTCGCAGGCTCGACAAAAACTTTAACCACAGAGTGAATGTAATATTTCCCGGCAGAAAAACTAAGTCCATTTATAAGTAAAATACGAAAAAAATGGAATTTTATTTTTATAAAATTTACTTCTGGATATAATCTTATGATCATAAACAAGCTTCTGTCCAAGTTTGGTAGAAATCCAGGATAGTTTAAGATAGTTATCAAAATTTCAAAAACTTTACCCGCAGAGTGAATATTTGTGGACGCCGCCGACGACAACGACGACGTCGACGGAATGTAGGATCGCTATGTCTCGCTTTTTCGACTAAAGTCGAAGGCTCGACAAAAATGCTTATTTTTGGCCCCTAATCTCTCAACTGTTGGTACCATAACCCCCAAAATCAATCCCCACCTTCCTTTTGTGGTATTGAACTTTATGATAAAATTTCATAGAGATCCATTCACTTAAACTAAAGTTAGAGTGCGAAAACCAATGTGTCTTCGGACGACGACGACGCCAACGTCATACCAATATACGACCACACAATTTTTTTGAGGTTGTATAAAAAGGGGGGGGGGGGTCCTAGGTCAGGTATGGTCAAATTACACTCTCGCTTGATCCGTCGGTACTCTTCTAATCTCTTAATAACTAATGATGTGAAAAGGGGGTAAAATTGCAATCAGTGACGTTAGCCATAAATTTGAAAGCTATATCATTAAACGAGAATTGAAATGAATTGAAGAAAAAAACTTTAAAAATCCTTGTTTATCTATGAGATTTCAATGGAAATATACGCTTTTGGTTTATATTGATTGTTTGTCCAGTAGAAAATATCTCATAGATAATCAGGACAAGAACAAAACTTACATTCAACACGATAGGCAGGCTCTGCAAGGCATGTGGGTCGAGTTGAAGGAGAGAACATTTGGACTGCCATTGCAAAATGAGGATTTGCTGGACAGGAGCAGAAAATTCAACTCGCAACATGGCCACCTACTCACCCTACAAGTGTTGTGGCAAAGGTTCTTTTACGCGCAGAGAGCTTGGCACTTGTTTAGAAATAATCGACTGAGATTCTTATATCCCATCGCCAAGCAATGACCATCCTCATATGTTATGTGGATGTGCAAATGAATGAAATAGAAGGTACACATTGTGTTGCATTGAACATTCTAAAAGAGTTAAATTATCCGACAGGCCAAGAAGTTGCTGCAAATGGGACATGGACAAACAGAACATAACTAAGTATCATGCTTTAGCTAAGAATGGTATAACAGTTAGCAATCTTCAGTTGCTGCCTCAGTTAATATTAGAAACTTATCAAAATCCGTTCTATTTCTTTGTTATTTTGCTTAAATCAGCTCTTTATAAAATTCATATAGAACTGCACTTTTTTGCAAGAAAAAATTGGTGATTATGAGACTGAATTTAGAAGTAAAATAGGTCCTACTGACTGTTTTTTTTTTTAAATATTTTATTTTTTGTCTTTTTTTTTTCTATACACGTATATCAACCATCTAACATACTATTGAGGTCAAGAGTTGTGTAATAAAGGCTCTTTTCAGTTATGTAGTACAAGAGTAAGGTATAATATGAGGTCAATTTAGATTAGATGTAAAGTGGATATATAAACTTTATAAGATATCTTCTATACTTTATAAGATATATAATATACTTTAGAAGATATCTCCTAAAGTTTATTAGATATCTTGAAGTTAGAATAAATAGTAAAACGGCTTGCCATACATTTGCCTTAATAGGAGTGGAACATAGTATTGGAAGAAAGTGTTGGAACCACTTTGATATCAATACACAGCTTGTACCTAACTTTATTTTAATTACTTGCACAGTAAGCTAAAGTGACTGATAAAATACTTCCATAATTCTTATTAACTACTTAAATTTGATATCTCACTTTTTCACATGAAATTCTTATTAATAGTAACATTTTGTATTTTTTTTATTTTAAAACAAAGGAACTATATTATACAAGTGTATATTTAAAGTTAAGTAGCTTCTTGACCTTACATTTTCTAATTTATTGGCAAGTTATATGTCAAAAGATGGTAGTAAATGATTAAAATAATGTTTATACTTTCTGCATGTCATTTAACATTGATTTCATTAAATGTTCAACACTACCTTAAAATCTGATCACATAGATCCAGCAAGACTGGATAAAAAATAACTATGCGAAGTAAGGAAAAATAAATAAAGGATGTCAGAAAGCTTTACTGAACACTATGGCTAATTCAACAAATCAAATATTCTCAATAACTTTTATTTCACTACTGAGTAGGAGATTTATACAGAATGGCACTAACAATAACAACACACCAACAGTCAAAAGTCTACTACAACACACACACATATGGTAAATAAATTAATTTGAAATGATTACATAAAATACTACAAACATGTATTCCTGGAAAAAAAACCAATAGGTGTCAAGTTTCCAGACCTTAAACAAGACTATTCACATTTAAACATTAAAATATTTAAAGATAAACCCTTGTTAACATTATAATATTGATTGATTGATTGTTGATGTTTAATGCCATTTTCAGCACTCCTGTCTATATCATGGCAACCCACTTTTTATTAATGGAAATAGCTAACTTGAAGGGAACCATCAACCTACATCAGGATAAGCCTAAATTCTAGTAAATTAACATCAGAATCAAGCATATTGTACCATGAGCAGGATTCAACTCACAACTTTAGTGTTGACAGGCTGTTGATCAATGAAGATGAACTACTTAGAACACTCAGCCTCTGATGCCCATTAACATTAATGTAAATTCAAAATTTATTGTGATTTTTTTTTATCAATGGGAAAATTGCGAGATAATCACCTTGGCAATAAATATAAACTCACATTCATGATTTCAGTAGTGATTTTCCTTTATAAAATGTTTTAATTGCATTTATTAGATTTCACATTTTTGACAATGGTCAAGGATTCACAATAATAAATATATGAATTACTGAATTTACAGTGTATATTTTTTCATCCTTGTTTGCAACATGCATTTTTCTTTTGATATGATTTATGTTATAAGCTAAATGACAACACATTGTGTTTTAAGTTTTTTAGGCTCAAATGCCAATTTGTTGTGAAAACAAACCTACTTTGACTCTTTTCTGTAAATAAAAAGCCATTAATAAATGTTACCATGTACAAATATTTGATGGATAGTCTAAGAACACTTGACACCTACTTTAAATCTAAATCAACAAGACAAAGGCACATGAAATAATATATTTTCCCCTAAATATCACCTTCTTAACATCCTCCTTAATCCCTCTTTTATATTTGTTTGCAATATAAGAAGCTAATACAAAAAGATGAATACATAAAAATGAGAAACAAAGGTTTATTGTGTAAGAAGAATATCCACATATTAGATTATAATTATTTTAACTTTATGACAATAAATATTGAAAGGGATGTGTCTAGCAAACAAATTATATAAAAAAATCGGTAGATAGAAGATAATAGCTAGGAATAAATATAATAATATACTAATAAAGGATGAGATGCATTAATGATGTAAATATAAAAGTTTACATACAAGACCACAAAGCTGTTACAATGTAAGTTAAATAGTATTCAGGAAAATGAATGAACTTTGTTTCCTTGATTTCAACAAGTTTGTCATAAGAGCAGGCCTACCATTAATCTTGTCTACAAACCACTGACATGCCAGATAGCACTGTGGAAAGATTGAATTTGGATTTTTGGTGTTTCCAAATCTTTCCAATAAAGCATTCATGAACAATATAAAACATTCAAAGCAATAGAATTTTACTTGGAAGTTTGAAATTATAAAAATATGTATTTTATCATGTTTTTAAAGAGCTTGAATTGGGAAAAACTAAAGCAAACTCAAAATTATAATTTACTTATGCAACCGTCTTATATATATATTTTTTTTTTATAAGTATTGTAGACACAAACTGACATACAAAATAGCACAAACATGACAAATAGGATTACACATCATGGTCATTTAAAACCAGACCATAGGTTATTCAGGTTTAAAATAAAAGCTTATGATCCATTATATTCTGTAAATTATTACAATGGCTTTCTACATCACACCTATACTCTATTTCACAACATTTTCCAAACTATTGGTCAATTCCTGAAAATAATCAGCATTCCCAAAGCCTAAGAGGGGGTATTTCTATACCCATACAAAAAAATATATATTCCAACGACTAGTCATCTGTGTCTTCAAATGACTAAATATGTAATTTATATTGTAATCAATAATGTGCCACTCAAGTTTAAAGAACTGTTGAAATATTACAACCAAAATTTATTTTTCATATAATACCTTTTAAAATTTGACATTTGACAGAATATCATGCACCTGTATTAGATGATAACTTCAATGAGCAAGGTAGTATATATAAATGTTGTATATAGTATTGTCTAATCTAAAATATATATAAATATGAAATATGCACTATCAAAACTTTGACACAAAAGAGATTTTCAGTGAGTATTTTATTTTAGCTTTGTTTTGAGATAAACTAGTGAACACACTTATATCTACTGTACATTTATCATTACACATCGTAACAACTAATATTAAAAAGCAAACAACAATATCTGCCATTAAAGATTCAATATGTTAATTTTTTTATATAGTTTTTTTTAAAGTTGAAACAATGAGACATAACTGAGTATTTAGTACAATTGATTTGAAATTCAATTGCTTAAATTCTCTTATCTTATTGTCAAAGGTATATTTAGAAATACAACAGAATTAATGATTTTCACAAAATCATGTTTTAAGGCTTTTTTCATCATTGCAATCATGTAACTAGGACAAGGGGTCACAGTTGTGTAGTTAACGCCTAAATCTTGAAAGTTGGCAGGTATGACCTTTTCATGAATAAATAGATTCTGGTTTGTTAAGGGAGATAACTATTCAAAAAAGAATTTGAAAGTTGACACAGCCAGCACAACTCCCTGAATAGCACACTGACAGGTAAAGAAAAAAAAACTATAAAAGTCTTTAATATCCTACCTATATCATTCAGAATTACACTTTTACAATTTTGGGAAATTTCTGGAAAGCTGATTGGTGCTAACTGAACCACAAAATTTAAATGTTGTCCAACAAACCAGGACACCTTACAATCATTCCATACAACAAATACAGTTGACCTATAGCTTATGGTATCTGTGAAACAGACCTTACCATGAAAATCTTTTCTTCTTTATTTTACACAAAATACTAATAACAATATAATTTGACTGACTGCTATTTTATATCTATCATTAGACTGTATACATTAATTGTTCAAGTTTCATTAGTGCAAAAATTAAACCAGTTCTCTACAATAATTTGATTTTTATGCCTTAAAGTAAATATTATCTGTAATTAGTATAACTGGTCCATTTAGACCCAGCTACAGAGGGTGCTACAGATATTGGTACAATCTGGGGATGGTGAGTTCCACTGACAACAATTGTCTGTGAGTTTAGAATTTGTGGTCCAGTTGTTGAAGGTTCTTCCTGGGTTACATCCCTTGGTTGGTGGATTCCATCATTATGCTGAAGTTGACTGAGTGCACTAAGTGGTCCAGAAACAGCTATCTGAATTGGTCCACCTATCCCAGAAGGCTGTACAAATGCATGCGCCAGGGCCTGACCTAGTTGCCCTTGCTGAAGGGCCTGGTTCAGGTGTGAAAGGTCAATGGTTGATCCAGGATGTGCTAACTGCATTATTGTTGGAGCAAGTCTAGACTGATAATCTGAGGACTGTTGACGGTAGTCAGTATGTACAGACTGAGTTAACTCTGACATGGCTTGTGTTAACAAATCAGCTGCTTGCTGTCCATCTCCTGTAGCAGATTGAACAGTAACAATAGAGTCAGCCGGTTCATAACGAACTATCTGTTGAAGTGTTTCTTGGCTGGATTGGGCATCAGACAAACCTTCCAATGATTCACGTTTTGGTTTAGGTGGAAGTGGAGGAACTGCATCTGGATGCTTTTTACGTTGATGTTGTGTTAGTTTGGCTTTGCTTGCATACTGCTTGTGACAATATTCACATAAGTGTGGCATTGTTGTAATACTTCCTACAGTCTGTGAGAATGTAGGATTAGGTATACCTGGTAGCTCTGTAAGAACAGTCTTCTTACGAGCACTCATTGGCAGTTCAGCCCCAGGATGATTCTTTAAGATGTGTGTTTTACGCTTGGAACTAGACTTGTACACTTTATCACAATATTGACAATAATAGTCTTTTTGTGTTTTCAAAATAGGTAAGTTCAGTTCTGGGACAGTCTCAAATTTGACATCTGGGTGACGTTTAGCAAGATGATTCACGAGCATTCCACGACGCTTAAATCCCAGCATACAGGTATGACATTTGTAGATAAATCTGTGATAATCAGTTGGAGAGACTTTTGGTATAAACTTTTTGGGAGAAGGCTTTTCTCCTTTAGCCATATTCTTCAATTCTCGTTCCAGTGAATGCATTCTTCTGATATGTTCTTTAAGCTTGTCTTTACGCTTAAACTGACGTCCACAAGTTTCACACATGAACTCTCTATGGTTTGAATGTTTCAACATGTGTAACTTGAGTTTGTCTGGCCTAGGAAATACTTTATCACAGTGTGGACATGGAAATTCCTTGTTGGTATGGAAACCTCTAATGTGCTTCCTCAAGTTGTAAAAGTCATCAAACTCTCGTTGGCATTGTGGACATGTGTATATGCCATTTTGAGCATGAATCACCACATGTTCTCTCATCACGGCTGAATGATTAAATCCCTCTTTGCAAATTGGACATTCATAATATTTCTTATCACTGTGAGTCTTCATATGACAAGACAATGCTGAATTATTCATAAATCGCTTGTAACAAACAGTACATTGCAGGGGCTTATTTTCTTCTGAACCGTGACACAACATGTGACGATTAAGTTTTTCTCGAGAATGAAAAGCTTTCCAGCATTGAGAACATTTATGGGTCCTGTTCCGTGAGAGGAATGACTTTGATTTTCCATGTTCAGCAGCATGCTCAATTAATGCTCTTTGGTCCTGGAATTGAGCATGGCAGACTGGACATGCCAGCATGCTGGGTTCCAGTGCATACATATCTGTATTTTGAGTACTTGTACCAGGTTGCTGAAATTCTCCATTTTCATTTACTTTGTAAGCAAATTTATAAACTTCGTCAAATCCTACTTCGTCCGCTGCATGTGTCAGTGTATGAAGGTTCAACAAGTTAGAATTATCAAAGGTCAGGTCACAGTGGACGCAGAGCCACTCATTTCCACCACACTCTTTCCCCTTCCTCCTATACATGGACTGTATAGTTCTACGTATTGCCTCTGAATCATGTCTCTTTTGGTATTTTTTCAATGTCCTATAAAGAAAAAGGAAAAATGATCTTGATTTATCCCTTTTTTTTCATTCACATTTCAAGTTGTTTATTTCATAAAGAAGAATATCATTGTCATAAGTTTGACTTTTTACAGTGTAACATTAAAGGAGAGGCTCCTCGTAGCCTGTATTGTGTACAAGGTATCCATGATAAATTTCTACACAACCCTTAACATATTAAGTGTATCTGCAGAAAAAAAATTCAAAGTTTTTGTTTCCTGTGTTCTTTATACAGTAAATGCAGCAAAGTTTAATGGAAGCATCAGCTGATATCATCTAGAAGAAAAAAAAACAGTTTGGGAAGATGCCTTGCTTGATTTAAACCAAGCCAAGACTTGGTGTTGCACAAATGTTGCAGGGAGAGTCTCTTGAGGTCTAAGTACATTTATATTGATGGTATAAATGTAGATTCATTTTTAATGTGCATGATTTACCTAAAAAATGCATTCATTATACAAGTATTTTTTTGAAAATATTTAATTGATCTACTTGATTTACCTGAAAGAAATGCATTCATTATGTAAGTATTTTTTTTTTAAATATCTAATTGGTCTGATCTAGGACTTAATCAAGACTTCTCCCAACATACATAATAAGGTATATTTCTAACAAGAAGTTATGGTGAATTGGTTTCTATAAGAGGACCTTTTACTTACTTGTTTAAATATATACTGGTGGACTTTTTCTTCCACATATAACCAGATGTATCAGAGAAATCCTGAAATAATAAAGTCACATTTAAAGTACAGTCAAACCTGAGTATGGACTATGTAATGTGGCCAATTAATTTTTTTCATTTGATAAACTAGCATATATCTGCAGTTTAACCAACAAATACACCTATTTATCACTGCAAAGTTCTTGCACAAGACATTTTAAAATTTTTACATATTTCCAATTCAGTTCTACATCTTTCATCACTTAATGAAAATAGCCTAAACTACTTTTACATGTTGCACTTAAAAAGTACTTGTGACTTACTGAGTAAAAGATGATTAAAATTTAATCTCAAAAACTTTATACACTAAACTATAACTTTCTGTTATATTCTTCTATTTACTATACTGTCACATTTCAACTTATTTTCACATAATGGCTCCATAGGTAACACTGTTTAGGACTTGTCTTCTTACCCGGACACATTATTCTGACATTATTCTGACTCTTTGCTCTTACTCATAAATGAAATGTGTTTTGTGTGTTCAGAAGAAAGCAGCAAACATCATTTTTTAAGTCTTAGGTGGGACCTCAACTAATCAAGGGCATACTTCACTAAAGACAGCAAACAGTTTACCACAATGTCAACAATATAAAAATAAAATGCTCCGCTGGGGCGCAGCTTGATACGACCGCAGAGGTCAAAACCTGAACAGTTGGGGCAAGTATGGACACAACATTCAAGCTTGATACAGCACTGAATTTGGATTGTAATTAAATATTTGACACAGCATAGGTTTCTGACACAGAATGAAAGTGGTCTAAGAACTTAAAAAATTTTAATTTACCTATTCAGACCATATCATTATTATTTGCTTTTATATATAAATCAGAAATAACCAATTTAAAATGGAAAATTTTAAAGAAAAAAAAGGAAAAAAAAATCCCCCCCCCAAATTTTTTGAAACCCTTATGATTCATCACCCCCAAACTCAATCCCAGCCTTCCCTTTGTGGTATGGTAACTTGCAGTACAATTTCAGAGAGATCCATACACTTGAACACAAGTTATTGTCTGGAAACTAGAATAAACTGCTTCGCTGAGCGCAGCTGGATACGCCCGCAGAGGTTCAACCCTGAACAGTTTGGGCAAAAATTGACACAATATTCAAGCTTGATACAGGTCTGAATTTGGATTGTAATTAAATATTTGACATATTATAGGTTTCTGAATAAACGTAGTCAAAGAACTTGAAATTGGTTATATGAATTGAATTTTTATTCAATTAAAGATTTCTTGCTGTTGTGCAATACACTGTGCTGTTGCACAATACTTAGTAAATCTGTTGTCAGACTATACACAAATAAAGTTCAATTAATTCTCAATGTCATAAATTTCTAATTTATGAAAATGTAAAGGAAGCTTACATCAATAGATATAAACAATTCACCAAAGTTTCATGAGAATTGCTGACAGCATTTTAGAGTTATTGTCCGAAAACTGGAAAATCCCCCCTTTTTTAATGAATAAAACCCAATAACTCAGAAATGATAAATGAAAAATTTATAAAATTCTAAACAGAGCTTATATCAATAGATATAAACAATTCACCAAAGTTTCATAAGAACTGCTGAAAGCATTTTAGATTTTTTGTCAGAAAACTGGAAAATCCCCCTTTTTTTATGAATAAAACCCTGTAACTCGGAAACGTAAAATCTTAAAATATAAAAAAATCGAAAGGGAGCTCATGTCAATAGATATAAACAATTCATCACAATTTCTTGCAAGTTGGTGAAAGCATTCTTGAGTTATTGTCCGAAAACTGGAAAATCCCCCTTTTTTTAATGAATAAAACCCCATAACTCGGAAACGTAAAATCTAAAATATATAAAAATTGAAAGGGAGCTCATGTCAATAGATATAAACAATTCACCACAATTTCTTGCAAGTTGGTGAAAGCATTCTTGAGTTTTTGTCCGAAAACTGGAAAATCCCCCTTTTTTAATGAATAAAACCCCATAACTCGGAAATGTAAAATCTAAAATTTATAAAAAAGGAAAGGGAGCTCACGTCAATAGATATAAACAATTCACCAAAGTTTTATGCAAGTTGGTTAAAGGGTTTTTGAGTAAATTTCCGACATGTTGACGAAGGACGGACAGACGGACGGACGGACAGACGGACAGACGGACAACAGTATACCATAATACGTCCCGTAAACGGGCGTATAAAAATGCTTGTTTTTTGGCCCCAAATTCCTAAATGTTTAGGGCAATTATCCCCAAACTCAAACCCAGCTTTCCCTTTGTGATATGGAACCTTGCAGTACAATTTCATAAAGATCCATACACTTACACACAAGTTATTGTCATTAAACTAGAAAAATGCTTGTTTTTTGCCCCTTTTTGGCCCCTAATTCCTAAAATTTGGAGGCAATTACCCCCAAAATCAATCCCAGCCCTTCCTTTGTGATATGGTACCTTGCAGTACAATTTCAGAGAGATCCATACACTAGAACACAAGTTATTGTCTGGAAACTAGAAAAATGCTTATTTTTGGCCCCTTATTCCTAAACTTTTTAGGCAATTACCCCCAAACTCAATTCCAGCTTTCCCTTTGTGATATGGAACCTTGTAGTACAATTTCATAAAGATCCATACACTTACACACAAGTTATTGTCATGAAACTAGAAAAATGCTTGTTTTTTGCCCCTTTTTTGCCCCTAATTCCTAAAATTTGGAGGCAATTACCCCCAAAATCAATCCCAGCATTCCCTTTGTGATATGGAACCTTGTGGTACAATGTCAGAGAGATCCATACACTTACACACAAGTTATGTCTGGAAGTTACAAAAATGCTTATTTTTGGCCCCTTTTAGGCCCCTAATTCCCAAAATCAATCCCCACCTTCCTTTTGGGGTATTGAACCTTATGGAAAAATTTCATTGAGATCCATTCACTTAAACTAAAGTTAGAGTGCGAAAACTAATGTGTTTTCGGACGCCAACGTCATACCAATATACGCCCATAAAAATGTTTTTGCGGTCGTATAATAAGGAGATGTAGTATGATAATCAATAAGACAACTATCCAACAAAGTTCAAATGAAGTGGATGTAAGCAGTTATAGGCAACTGCAAAGCCTTCAACAATGAGAAAAATGTGCTTCGACGAGTGCAGCTGGATACGACCGCAGAGGTCCAACCCTGAACAGTTGGGTCAAAAATGGACACAATATTCATGTTTGATACAGGTCTGAATTTGGATTGTAATTAAATATTTGACACATTACAGGTTTCTGACACAGAATAAATGTAGTTAAAGAACTTGAAATTGGTTATATGATTTGAATTTATATTCAATTGAAGTTTTCTTGCTGTTGTGCAATACACTGTGCTGTTTCGCAATACTTAGTAAATCTGTTTTTAGACTATATACAAAGAATTAGCAAAATAAATTGTGACCCCCAATTTTTTTTGAAAAATTGATAATTTCTTAAATCTTAAGGAAAAAAAAATTGACCACCCCCCCTCCAAAAAAAAAAAAAAATATTTGAAGAAATCAATGGTACAATTTCAGAGCAATCAAAATACTTATACACAAGTTATTGTCCTGAAACTAGAAAAATGCTTGTTTTGGGCCCCTTTTTTGCCCCTAATTCCTAAACGGTTGGGACAATCACCCCCTAAAGACAACTCCAACCTTCCTTTTGTGGTATTGAACCCATTTGGTTAAATTTCATAGAGATCCATACACCTAAACTAAAGTTATCGTCCGGAAACCAAATGTCTTCGGAAGACAACGATGACGTGATAGCAATATACGAATGCAATTTTTTTTGCGGTCGTATAAAAACCCATACCGTATAGTTGGCTATAAAAGGCTCAAGTCTGTTATATAGTACTGATGTCAATTACCTTTGTTTTCTTAGGTAGTGGTTGTTTATACTTCTTTTTAATAGCACTATAGGTAGATATGTCATTCTCTTCTGATGTACTTGTAGATGGTGTAATGTGTGATTCAGTACTTGTGGATGGTTGTGGAGCCCCTGGTTCATGGGTTATTAGATGTCTCTGTAAAGCTATTGATGTCTTGAACCTCTTGGCACATTCATAACATTGATATTTACACTCTTGTTCATCTAAAACTGTAGATTAACAAAAATAGTATATATACCTTAGACAAAGCACATAAAAAGTCAATTTCTAGATTATTATGCAACTTTGTTAAAACATTTGGATTTAATCTACTTTAAACTTTTCTGTCGCAACGCAAAATGAACATCCTTACTTTTACATGGCTAAAATTAACATCATGTTTAAAATCTTGTTGAAGATCGCAGTTGTTAATGAAAATCTAAAAAAGTTTTTTCTTTGTTCTAAATCCATCCTTAAACTATTCCATTTATTTACAATTACTAAAAATGTTTTTGTTCCTTTGAATCAAAATTTATGACCCGTGCATCCCTTTTTTTCTCTCACTTTCCTGACGATGAAAAACAAGTCTTTCATGTCTAGCCAATTGCATATGGTGGCATAGCCTTTCGGAATCAAATGGAAACGGGACATTATAAATTAATAGCTAGTTATCTGTCATTGAAAAGCAAAAAAAAAGCTCATTCAATTCAGTTGTATCAAGCAAAATTAAGTATTTGGAATGCAAATATCTGGGGTTTTTTTCCAGACCATTACTTTCATTCATACTAAATGTGCAATAAAGAGGTCTTTACCATCAATATCCTGCTGTGTAATTTCTAAAGTGTGAAGTGCATGTCTTCTAGCATAATGTGTAGCATACCAAACCTACAAAATATAACATTAATAATACTTTACTTGTTATCTATAAATCATCATAAAGGAAGTATATGGTGATCAATTCATTACAAAACAATCTTTGTATATATAAGAAAAAACACATAAGCAAAGGAACAATGCTTTTATTGCTGTGTTCCATCTCACAGTGTGGCCTTTAACATGGAGCCAGAACTCAAACTTCAATGCAAGTTGAAGACAGTGGCTAGCAACAGTTATAGTAAATTTTTTCCCTTAAATCATTGCACTGCATATCTGCATGGATAACACAGCTGCTGGGTTGTATCAACACATTATATTAAAATTCGTAAGGGTTCCGCGGAACCCATTGTCTCGCCTACTTTTTCTGTTAATCGCAGGCTCAATAAAAATGAGGAAGTAAATCAATAAAAATATTCCTCTTGATACTATCTTTTGATTGTAAGAAGCTTCTGTCCAAGTTTGGTAAAATTCCAGGATAGTTTATGAATCTAATAAATGTTTAAAAACTTTAACTGCAGACTGAATGTAATGTTAACTGGAAGAAAACAAAATTTCCTTCTAGATACTAGCATTTGATCATAAACAAGCTTCTGTCCAAGTTTGGTACGAATCCAAAATAGTATAAGAAAGTTATTAAAATTTTAAAAACTTTAACCACAGAGTGAATATGTTGTTTCCTGGCAGAAAATCTAAGTCCATTTAAAAGTAAAATACGGAAAAAATGGATTTATTTTTTTACAAAATTTCCTTCTAGATACTAGCTTTTGATCATAAACAAGCTTCTGTCCAAGTTTGGTACAAATCCAGGATAGTATAAGAAAGTTATTAAAATTTTAAAAACTTTAACCACAGAGTGAATGTGTTGTTTCCTGGCAGAAAATCTAAGTCCATTTAAAAGTAAAATAAGGAAAAAATGGATTTATATTTTTATAAAATTTACTTCTAGATACTATCTTATGATCATAAACAAGCATCTGGCCAAGTTTGGTACAAATCCAGGATAGTTTAAGAAAGTTATTAAAATTTTAAAAACTTTAACCACAGAGTGAATGTAATATTTACCGGCAGAAAAACTAAGTCCATTTATAAGTAAAATACGGAAAAAATGGAATTTTATTTTTACAAAATTTACTTCTGGATACTATCTAATGATCATAAACAAGCTTCTGTCCAAGTTTGGTAGAAATCCAGGATAGTTTAAGAAAGTTATTAAAATTTCAAAAACTTTAACCACAGAGTGAATATTTGTGGACGCCGCCGACGACAACGACGACGACGACGCCGACGGAATGTAGGATCGCTATGTCTCGCTTTTTCGACTAAAGTCGAAGCTCGACAAAAATGAGAAGATGTGGTATAAATGCCAATGAGACAAGTCGCCACCCTAGACCAAATGACATAGAAGTTAACAACTATAGGCCACTGTATGGCCTTCAAAAATGAGCAAAACCCATACTGCATAGTCAGCTATAAAAGGCCCTGAAATGACAAATGTAAAACAATTAAAACGAGAAAACTAACGGCCTGATTTATGTACAAATTGATGAACGAAAAACAAATATGATATACAGCAACAAACATCAACCACTGAATTACAGGCTCCTGACTTAAGACAGGCAAAAACAGGATGTGGCGGGGTTAAACTAGTTAGATGGTGTCAAACCCTTCCCTAACCTGGGACAGTGGTGTAACAGCACAAAACAAGAACACACTATACAAAACAATAAACGAAAAACAAATATGAATATAGAGCAACAAACAACAACCACTGAATTACAGGCTAAACTCATCAGATTGATACAAAGCAGAAATACATCTAACAATAAAATGCTTCGCTGGGCGCAGCTTGATACGACCGCAGAGGTCGAACCCTGAACAGTTGGGGCAAGTATGGACACAACATTCAAGCTTGATACAGCTCTGAATTTGGATTGTGATTAAATATTTGACACAGCATAGGTTTCTGACACAGAAAGAATGTGGTCTAAGAACTTCAATTTTTTTAATTTACCTATTATGGTCCAATGTCCAAAATCAAAATACATGGTTAGATTCAGCATATCAAAGAACCCCATATATTCAATTTTTGTTGAAATCAAACAAAGTTTAATTTTGGACCCCAACTTGGACAAACTTGAAAACTGGTCCCATAATCAAAAAATCTAAACACATGTTTAGATTCAGCATATCAAAGTACCCGAAGAATTCAATTTTTGTTAAAATCAAACTAAGTTTAATTTTGGACCCTTTGGACCTTAATGTAGACAAATTTAAAAAACGGGACCCAAAATTAAAAATCTAAAAACACGGTTAGATTTGGCATATCAAAGAACCCCAATTATTCAATTTTTGATGAAATCAAACAAAGTTTAATTTTGGACCCTTTTGACCTCAATATGAACCAATTTGATAGCGGGCCCACAAATAAAAAATCTAAATACATGGTAAGATTCAGCATATCAAAGAACCCCATATATTCAATTTTTGTTGAAATCAAACAAAGTTTAATTTTGGACCCCAATTTGGACCAACTTGAAAACTGGGCCAAAAATCTAAAATCTAAATACATGCTTAGATTCAGCATATCAAAGAACCCCATATATTCAATTTTTGTTGAAATCAAACAAAGTTTAATTTTAGACCCCATCTTGGACCAACTTGAAAACTGGTCCCATAATCAAAAATCTAAACACATGTTTAGATTCAGCATATCAAAGAACCCCAAAAAATCAATTTTTGTTAAAATCAAACTAAGTTTAATTTTGGACCCTTTGGACCTTAATGTAGACCAATTTAAAAAACAGGACCCAAAATTAAAAATCTAAATACACGGTTAGATTTGGCATATCAAAGAACCCCAATTATTCAATTTTTGATGAAATCAAACAAAGTTTCATTTTGGACCCTTTTGACCTCAATATGAACCAATTTGATAGCGGGCCCACAAATAAAAAATCTAAATACATGGTAAGATTCAGCATATCAAAGAACCCCATATATTCAATTTTTGTTGAAATCAAACAAAGTTTAATTTTGGACCCCAATTTGGACCAACTTGAAAACTGGGCCAAAAATCTAAAATCTAAATACATGTTTAGATTCAGCATATCAAAGAACCCCATATATTCAATTTTTGTTGAAATCAAACAAAGTTTAATTTTGGACCCCAACTTGGACAAACTTGAAAACTGGTCCCATAATCAAAAATCTAAACACATGTTTAGATTCAGCATATCAAAGAACCCCAAGAATTCATTTTTTGTTAAAATCAAACTAAGTTTAATTTTGGACCCTTTGGACCTTAATGTAGATCAATTTAAAAAACGGGACCCAAAATTAAAAATCTAAATACACGGTTAGATTCGGCATATCAAAGAACCCCAATAATTCAATTTTTGATGAAATCAAACAAAGTTAAATTTTGGACCCTTTGGACCTCAATGTGGACCAATTTAAAAACGGGGCCCAAAATCCAAAAAACTTAATACACGGTTAGATTCAGCATATTAAAGAACCCCAAGAATTCAAGAATAAAACCCCATTGAAATTGATCAAGAAATTTAAGCAATTTATAGGAAGTATCTTCTTTTGCACAATACTGTGCAATTGAATATTTCTTGCTATTGCGCAATACTGTACAATTGACAATTTCTTGCTATTGCGCAATATTGTGCTATTGGATATTTCTTGCTATTGCGCAATACTGTGCAATTGAAGATTTCTTGCTATTGCGCAATACTGCGCAATTGAAGATTTCTTGCTATTGTGCAATACTGTGCAATTGAAAATTTCTTGCTATTGCACAATACTTATTATATAATAATTTACACATCCTGTTTGGTGTGTATCTCCTACCATATCATTATTATTTGCTTTTAAATATAAATCAGAAATAACCAACTTAAAATGGAAAATTTTAAAAGAAAAAAAAAAGGAAAAAAAGAAAAAAAAAAAAAAAAAAAATCCACCCCACCCAAATTTTCTGAACCCCCTTATGATTCATCACCCCCAAACTCAATCCCAGCCTTCTCTTTGTGGTATGGTACCTTGCAGTACAATTTCAGAGAGATCCATACACTTGAACACAAGTTATTGTCTGGAAACTAGAAAAATGCTTATTTTTGGCCCCTTTTTGGCCCCCAATTCCTAAACGTTTCGGGCAATTACCCCCAAACTCAATTCCAGCTTTCCCTTTGTGATATGGAACCTTGTAGTACAATTTCAGAAATATCCAAACACTTACACACAAGTTATTGTCATGAAACTAGAAAAATGCTTGTTTTTTGCCCCTTTTTTGGCCCCTAATTCCTAAAATTTTGAGGCAATTACCCCCAAAATCAATTACAGCCTTCCCTTTGTGATATGGAACCTTGTGGTACAATGTCAGAGAGATCCATACACTTACACACAAGTTATTGTCTGAAAGTTACAAAAATGCTTATTTTTGGCCCCTTTTTGGCCCCTAATTCCTTAACTGTTGGTACCATAACCCCCAAAATCAATCCCAACCTTCCTTTCGTGGTATTGAACCTTATGGTGAAATTTCATGGAGATCCATTCACTTAAACTAAAGTTAGAGTGCGAAAACCAATGTGTCTTCGGACGACGCCGGACGACGACGACGACGCCAATGTCATACCAATATACGACCAAAAAATTTTTAATTTTTGCGGTCGTATAAAAACACAGACCAGATGTGGTGGGGTACTTATACATCCCCACAACAAAAAAAGACACAAAGTACAGATCTGAGTGTACTCGCAGTTACTGACAGCTAGTTCAAAGCCACTAACAACTAATAAAAATATCATGCATCTTAGACTAAAATATCAATCAGTAGACATCCAACATCCAATGGATTTAGTGTAAAGACGATGTCATCAACAGTCAGAGAAAAACATGACTGTGTGCAATGCCAAGATACAGGTATCGACAGATTGTAGAGCCATGGATGTGCATATGTATATAAAAATAAAAGTTTGATTCTAATTTACTGATAACAAAATTAATATCAATACCAATAAAAACAATATTCAAAGATCTAATTACAGTGTTGAATTGGTAACCTTTTTTTACAGGAGTTGGGTTATGGAAGGCAATGTGGTATGTTATAATGACTAATATTTTTAGAGGAGTTGGGTTATGGAAGGCAATGTGGTATGTTGTAATGACTAATATTTTTAGAGGAGTTGGGTGTTTGAAGGCAATGTGGTATGTTGTAATGACTAATATTTTTAGAGGAGTTGGTATTTGAAGGCAATGTGGTATGTTGTAATGACTAATATTTTTAGAGGAGATGGGTGTTGGAAGGCAATGAGATATGTTGTAATGACTAATATTTTTGGTTATTCTTGTAACTTGTAATTCTTTATATTATCAATGTGTCGGATAACATTGGATTTAATTTAAGTGAATTATTACTTATACTCTTTATGTCCAATATATGCACTACATGGTAAGATCTTAAGACAATCTTTCACAATGTACCATACCTTTAGTTCAGTCCTTATATCTATATTCTTTGTGACAGAGAAATAAATATCAAAGCCATGTTGGTAGGCCACCATATTCTGTTCTGCAAAGTTTTCTGCTGGTCTGACAAACATCATCCAATTACATTTGTTTTCATCAGAAGTGTCAAAATATAGGACATCTCCTTCCTGTCTTTCCAGCTGTAAAAATAAAAAACAACATAACAATATAACTAAGAGGGAACTGAGTTAATGTCTCCCCTTCATCTATAGCAGTCATCTCAGTTAAGAAAATGCTCAACAAACACATTTTATTACTGGAAAGGTATTGCCATAGCAAATAAGAATATATATTTAAAATGGATGTGAAACTTCTAATTTGTTTCCAGTATATCTATCAATAAGATGTAGTTTAATACCAATACTGATCTCTTTTCAAAAATTTATGTAGAAAATGACATTTGTTTTTCTTACCATAAGCAGAAACTTAGTGGATTGTATATCTTCTTTAGATTGGACTAGTTCTCCTATAAATGGTCCAAACTGAGTACAACGTGGAATGGTCCTTTTGGCAAAAACTCCTACATGAGCTTCTGAAATCAATAATTATTGGGATTGATACAATAATATTGACAATTAAATTCAAGTTTTGGCTGTTCAAACAAAAAGATATCAATTTTCAACCATATATGAAGAGTATGCTGTAAGCAAGATTTAATAAACTTTCTGAAATAACACATAAAGTCATGACTTGAATTCATATTCTAAGTATGTTTACAAAAACTGAAGCTTAACTCATTGTTTCTTTCAAATTTTGTGATGACATCTGTTACATTCCTTCAATATTTTGTATTTCTTAAAGTGCTATAAAATCAATCATGAGTAGAGAAATACTGTAACTCATGGAAGACAGAAGAACAACCCATATATATTCATTTATATGAATTTTTTACATATTGAAATTATCTCGTGTGTTTAAGCGAATTTAGTTGTTCTTCATATCAAGTGGTTATCTGGAATTTTGTGAAACATACTTATCAATCAGTATCCTGGCTTTTCTTAAAATCCCTTTTTTTTATATGCATTCCATGTTTTAGTTTTCTTAAAATGAGTTAGAGCAGCTAACATGTTTAAAATATAGTATAGATATTACAATTTCCTTCTATTGAATAATGAATTTAAATGTAGATATAACTTACCCCCACCATACTGTGAAGAGGCATCTTCCAATCTAAATATCTGTAACATCTGAGGAAGACTGGCCCAGGCTCTGGACAACACAACCTTGTCAGGGAACAATGTCAATCTGTGTGTTGGACACTCTATATCATAACTTGTCATGCATTCTTCACACCCTAAAATTGCATATTTACAATTTCAAAAATGTTATAATGAAAACAAATCATAATTTCTATTTCAGATTTGTGAATAGTTCACCAAGTAGGATATTCAATAAGGTTTTTCCAATTTTGTATAGAAAAAGTTTAACAACATACAGATTTTAACTGATATGTTTAGACTATTAGTTTTTCTGAAAATTAATGGCACAAAATATTAGCTCAATCACAATGTGAATTTTTCTGATAAGTGAGCACGGCAAACCAGCCAAAAAGGCTTCACCGTCACATTGTATTGAGCTAAAAAAAATCTGAAATTTGAGATGAAAACTCATCAATATCACAAGCTACTTATTCATAATCATATATGCATAATGTATATATATTTGACAATTCATCTCCCAATTGAAACACTTTTTAATATAGAATTGGTCCTATCTGAGATGACACTAGAAGGGTCCAAAGACAGAATTCCTGCATTTTGAATATAAGGATGAAAAGCTTGAAATTATCTTACTTTATAGTCAATCTTATAGATATTACTTACAAATTTCATTAACATTGTATTGTTTGGGTATATATTTTGGCTTTTGATAAGAAGGAAGATCATTTTCCATTTCAGCAATTCTGTTAGATTTTCTGACCTGAAATAATAAATCTTTGAATTAAAACCAAATAAATTAGATATCAAATAAAGCAGAAAAATAATGCAACTGTCAGATAGGCTTACAGCTATTTAGTTTTGAAACTATTTCTCAAGTATTATTTATTTCACTTTCATGTGAAGTAAGATACAATGCTAAGTTATCTCCCATTGATTTCTGAAAATATGCTTTTAATTGAAATTTCCTGTAAATGTAAATGTAAATGTAAATCTGTCTTTCATTTATTAGCTGTTATCTTAATAATACATAACATTAAACTACATGAACCCATCTGTAAATATGTCATGAATACATTTTGAAATTCTTAAAAAATAAATGTGGATAGTGTCCACATGTGGACACAGATGATGCCCCCGCTTGCATATCAAATAGTTATAAAGGGACATAACTGAAGAACGGTAAAAGTGACGCTACCCAAATTTGAACTTGATCTGAGTTTTGTGGTAATAAGCATTGTGTGTAAGTCCCATAACATTTGGTTTAGGCTAACTTAAGTAGAGAACAGAAACTAAAAATTCAGCAATTTTTCTATTTGTAAACATGCATAACTCCAGAACGGTTGTGTATAAGTTTTATAACATTTGGTTGAAACAAACAAAAAAATTCAGCAATTTTTATGTTTATAAAGGGACATAATTCAAGAATGGTAAAAGTGTCGCCACCTTATTTCGTACTTAATCTGTATTATGTAGTAATAAGCATTGTGTATAAGTTTCATAACATTTGGTTGAGGCAAACTAAAGTTAGAAAACGGAAACAAAAAATTAGTACTTGATCTTAGTTTTGTGGTAATGAATATTGTGTATAGGTTTCATAATGTTTGGTTGGGGCAAACTTAAGTTACAGAATGGAAACTAAAAATTTTGCAATCTTTCGATTTATAAAGGGGCATAACTCAATAATGGTTAAAGTGACACTACCCAAATTCAACTTGATCTGTGTTTTATCAGTGGAAGTCAAAATTAAACATTGCATTGTATAAAGCATTGATTGTAGTTGATTCAACTATAATCATGGACAAAGGAAGATAACTCCAATTTTAATATAAATTACTTGATATTTACAAGAAAATAAAAATTTTGCAATTTTTCCATTTATAAAGGGGCATAACTCTAGAACGGTTAAAGTGACTCCATCAAAAATCAAACTTAATCTGTGTTTTGTGGTAATTAGCATTGTGTATAAGTTTCATAACATTTGGTTGAGGCAAACTTAAGTTAGAGAACGGAAACTAAAAATTTTGCAATTTTTCCATTTATAAAGGGGCATAACTCTAGAAGGGTTAAAGTGACGCCACCAAAATTCAAACTTGATCTGTGTTTTGTGGTAATAAGCACTGTGTATAAGTTTCATAACATTTGGTTGAGGCAAACTCAAGTTAGAGAACGGAAACCAATTTTGGGACGTACGGACGGACGTACATTATGCCCCCGCCGTGGCGGTGGGGGCATTAAGTTTTACCCTTGTCCGTCTGTACGTACAGACGGACAAGGGTAAAACTTAATGTCCCCACCGCCACGGCGGGGGCATAAAAAGATTATCTCCCTTATCATTATTTCTACCTCTTCTTTTTATAGTTTTATGGCACTTACACTGACATTCAGTATGGTTGGTATCCCCATGTTAGATGTTAATTCATCCTTATCATCTAAAGACTGGTCATCCAGAGTACTGTGTAGACCCTCTACTGTTACAAGTCCACTCATATTTACTGATACTGATGACTGGGATGGACCTGTTTATTAGTTAAATGTATCAAGATGTGGAAGAATGATTTAATGACAAGAATACTATCAATTCAGAAACTTTTAAATATGTAATTTATTTTTGTGTGAAAATTGTGACAGGATTGGTTTCACAAAAATATAAACTCACATTTTAATTTAGATAGCATTTTTTGTACGCAGCATTTCCAGAAATCACACAATTTAAATCTCACATTTTTGTCCATTGTTCAAAAATCACAAAAGTTTTTAATCAACAGTATGAAATCAACATCTTTGAGAGAATCAATTACTTTTTATCTTAATGTTCTAATAGCAGTGGTTTCAAACAGTTTCCAAATTAAAGATGATTTTGTTTATTTTGGTAGGAAATTCTTTTTTTTTGTGGATCAGCTGATCCATTAAGATAAAATATATTAACCATGCTAAATTCTACTTAAACAGAAACTCATACATTTTTGACAATCCTAGATATTTCTCTATTACAAGCTGTTGTCTTACCATTTGATACCATTTCCCCTAATGAACTGTCTGCTGAAGATTCCACTTCTCTGCTGTAGTGAGATATCCTACTTGATGACAGTTGAGAACTGCCAGTGGTAGAGTCCATTACTACACTACCCCTCGGTGTTCCCATCATAGTCGAGTGTAAGACTGGTTCTGTATCTATACTGTTACTTTCCTCTACTATGTAACTTCGAACTGAAAAAAGTAGAAAATGCACTAATTCAGATTTTTTTATAATGGATGCATTTCTGCAGGGTAAAATTTTCATAGTTTGAGACTTAATTTCAAGTATTTCAGTTTGTGAATAGTTTAGTATTTTACTTTGAGGTTAACCTATGCCAATAAAAAAATCTTAAACAGTGACATTAAAGCAATTAAGGGCATATGATACAGTTTTGATCCCACAATGAATTTTTGAAGAAAATTTGCATACAAGCTATTTTTCATCTAGTCAATTGAAATATTTAATAAAAAATATGCCTTCATGTGCTACTTTTAGAGATAGATGAGGTAGAAATTTTAGATAATTACTCAAAATTTCGATTTCTTGGAAATTTCTATCCTTTGGAAAGACATACCTAACTTTTTTATATCAAAAGATAAACACAAGCAGGTTTATATAGAAGGCATTTGAAATATCTTCTTTACACAAGTATGCTCTAAATTTGTGTAACAATTCTTTGGAAATAATTCAATTTTATTAAATTATCATGATAAAAATTCATCTGTGATTTTTTCATAAAAATTGGTGCAAATAATCTTCATAAATAATCCAGTCAAATATCATTTTTAAAAGAGGGGTCCATGTACTCTTTTCAAGCTTATGGTTCAAATCAGTTAAAAAATGCATCTTTTTCAGATATGTCACAGTTTGACGTCACGAAAATAACATTTGACGTTAGCAACTTCATTATCTCCCCCTGTAACTGTATTGTATGCCCTTAAAATACATTCACAGTACTTGCATTATGTTCAATTATTTTCTCCAAAGAGCTTTATGCTGTTTCACAAAGAAATATTTATTATATATAAAAATGTAGTAACGACTATATATTACTTCTCTTTTGGTTATTTTTCAAGTATCTTGCCTTGCAGCAAAACATGCCTTACACTTAATCATTAAATCCAAATTTGTTATCCCTATGATAAATCTTAGAAAAAAACATTTGCTGTGTTTTCAGGGCTCTTATAGCATAATGTAGTTATCTAAATTGTAAAAGAAAATCGTGAAATCAAATAAAATCATCCAATGAAAACAGTTTGTATTGTTTTAGTCTTCTTTCAATAGCTGGTACCCACCATGTGGAGCATAGTCATCATTATCTTCTTGAGTTGTATCTGGTTCCCCACTGACTGTTTCTTCTACTTTTGATACATTTTGCATCATCCTGCTATGTAATGATTCACTAATGGAACTAACTCTAGGATCAGATTCTGCCTCCTGTCTGTGTGACATCATTGATGTTCCCCCTGTTGTTGTTACCTCACCATGAGATGGGTACATTGAATAGGATCTGACACAGGAAACCTAAAACAGTTTGAAGGAGATTTATAATGTTAGTATGTAAATTTGTAGAACAGTGATTACTAAAATTGATAGAACTTGCATTTTATTTAGTAAAATTTATGCATTTACAATGTATTTTTCATGCAAATTTTAAATGATAATCTACTTTTTATACTACTACTAGTGCAGCTCAATCAGAACACCTTACATGCCTTAGATAAGGTCTGCTGAAGAGGCTAGATGTCTTGAAAGCTTATTTAGAATCTGTCTGATATTTTACATAAACTTTCAAAACATATTCAGGTCTATATTGATGCACTCAATCTGAATCAAACCAAGAGCCGACTTTTGCCTACATGGGAGATACCTCTATATTGATTGGTTTTTGTATGCTTTTCTCTACATGTCTATGCAGTTCTGGTTTCAGAATAGAGAATGGAAACAGGGAATGTGTCAAACAGACAACAACCTGACCAAAGAGCTGAAAACAGCCAAAGGCAACCAATCTTCAAAACTGCAAGAAAATCCAACACCTGGAGGCGGGCTTCAGCTGGCCCCAAAACAATAATGTATACCGGTACTAGTTCAGCATAAAATGGACGCCACATTTAACTCTGAAACATACAAATGAACCAAAATTAAAAAAACACATAAGACTAACAAAGGCTAGAGGTTCCCGACTTGGAACAGGCAAAATAATATATGGCATGGGAAGTTTGTTAACCCTTTAAACTGCCCCAACTTAACAAAAGCTATGACAATAAAGTTCAGAATAATGTAAATTAGACTTACTCCAATGTTGTAAAAAACAAAAGATTATATTTTTATTGTACCAGTAGTAATTTTCTCAACAGGGATAGGTAACCCTACATACTTACTGGCACTGGAGTGAGCATTGCATGTGTAGGTTGTTGATCCTCTACACTATCCTGATGTTGCAATCCAAGAGCTGACTGACTGACTGTAGTGTCAACGGGAGAGTTCACTCTCTGGACAGTCATAATACGATGATCACTCCCTTGAAATACCACTTGATGTACTGGATAACTCTGTGTTAAAAATTTGTTTTTTTTATCATGAGAGACTACAGAAGTATTGACTTTTAATGTATCGAATTAAAAATAACTAATCCAAGAATTTGAATGCTGAAAAATTGGCTAACTGACATAACTAAATACATTGGTTTTGATTGCAATGACAAACATGACAAAGAACAGTAATGAATAAACTCAATATTTCACAATTTAAATTTTTCGATACAAATATTTATCTTTTTTCTATTTTTCTTTTGTACATATAAAATGTAAATTTTGCTCAGACTTTACCTTGGTATTAAGCCTAAAAGGACACTTAATATATAAATCTTTGTATGAGGATTTCACATGTCAACTGATGATAACAAACCTGATGAAGTGTGCTACTATCAACAACTCCTGTAATCAGCTGACCACTGTCTGGTCCTAGACCAGAGTAGGATATATTATCACTACCACTTGGTCTGTAGTCCTCTACAGGAGACATACGATCAAACGAGGACTGGGCAGCTTGGTAGATTTGAGACTGTGATGCTGTGATGTGGTAGGAACCATCAGTGTATGGTAATCCTCTGAAATGAAAAAAAAAAATTTCTAGTAAAGATTATCATTGTTATATCCATCATTTATATCAAAATTTTCTTGATATATAAACTTTCATTCTTTTAAAATCTAACTCTATATATTTGTGTGCATAATTCGAGTTCATTTATTTTCATGGGTACCAACTTTCAAAGATTCAGTAAATAAATGGAGAATGTGTCCATGGGACACAGATGATGCCCCTGCTTGCATATAACGTTATAAAGGAACATAACTCAAGAACGGTAAAAGTAATGACACCCAAATTTTAACTTGATCTGAGTTTTGTGGTAATTAGCATTGTGTACAAGTTTCATAACATTTGGTTGAGGCAAACTTAAGTTAGAGAACAGAAACGAAAAATTCAGCAATTTTTTCATTTGTAAAGGTGTGGCGGGGGCATAAAAAAGTATTTTCCTGGATACTTGATTTTGTGGCATCACTCCATCACTCATCAATTTACATGTGGTGTAAACTGAGTATGGTAATTTACCTAGCACTATCAGGATGATGATATTCCTGTGGTATAAACTGAGTACGTTAATTTACCTAGCACTATCGGGTTGATGATATTCCTGTGGTATAAACTGAGTATGGTAATTTACCTAGCACTATCAGGATGATGATATTCCTGTGGTGTAAACTGAGTATGATAATTTACCTAGCACTATCAGGATGATGATATTCCTGTGGTGTAAACTGAGTATGGTAATTTACCTAGCACTATCAGGATAATGATATTCCTGTGGTGTAAACTGAATATGGTAATTTACCTAGCATTATCAGGATGATGATATTCCTGTGGTATAAACTGAGTATGGTTATTTACCTAGCACTATCATGATGATGATATTCCTGTGGTGTAAACTGAGTATGGTAATTTACCTAGCACTATCAGGATGATGATATTCCTGTGGTGTAAACTGAGTATGGTAATTTACCTAGCACTATCAGGATGATGATATTCCTGCGGTAAAAACTGAGTATGGTTATTTACCTAGTACTATCATGATGATGATATTCCTGTGGTATAAACTGAGTATGGTAATTTACCTAGCACTATCAGGATGATGATATTCCTGTGGTATAAACTGTGAACCGTACGACTGTACATTCTGTGTGGAAGATACTGGGAAAGTCAATGTGGATGTGGAATATACCACATTAGATTGGTAAGAAGATGATGCACGTGGTTGTTCATATGACATAGGATAAGGCTCCTGTGTAGATTCTGGTGGTGTCCACACCTCATTATCATCGTGGCTGTTTTCATCCATTCTGCAAATCAGAAAAAAAATGTATCTAAAAGATACTGTAATTTAATTCAAATCTTTAGTCTAACTTTTGTTTGTGTTTGGGGATAATCTATAATCAATTACAAGTTCATGAAACAGGTGTTTATTCATTTAACACACATGTATTTGCAAGAGTTATTCCCCTTTTGTTGTTTAATTGTCCCATGTTGGCATTTTCTTACTATTTTGAGCAGGTTTTAACAACTGGCCATTTTATTACCTTGGAAAAAAGGTAGTATAGCATTTCCCTTGATAAGTTTACTGAAATAAATTATCTAGACAGATAAATTGATAATTTCAAATTGGTGATATCAGCAGTTAGGATTCTACTTCGTCAAAATTATCTCCCCATTACGCCATCAAATTTTATTAAATTGTAAAAATGGAAGCCATTATATGGGTGACACACTGTCAATTTAGCTCTTGAAAACCGATAAATTTATCCACATAGCATCATTACGATCCTTATATGTGAGTTATATTTTAAAAGACAAATGTATCTACTAGCTACTAAGCATCGTTAAATATACATTTAGGCCCTTAGTCAACTTAAAACTACTATCTGATCGGTTGTCAGGGGGAATTTTCGAAAGTTCAAAAACACAAAAAATAAAATGCTCCGCTGGGGCACAGCTTGATACGACCACAGAGGTCGAACCCTAAACAGTTGGGGCAAGTATGGACACAACATTCAAGCTTGATACAGCACTGAATTTGGATTGTAATTAAATATTTGACACAGCATAGGTTTCTGACACAGAATGAAAGTGGTCTAAGAACTTAAAAAATTTTAATTTACCAATTCAAACCATATCATTATTATTTGCTTTTATATATAAATCAGAAATAACCAATTTAAAATCGAAAATTTTAAAGAAAAAAAAGGAAAAAAAAATCCCCACCAATTTTTTTTAACCCCCTTATGATTCATCACCCCCAAACTCAACCCCAGCTTTCTCTTTGTGGCATGGTACCTTGCAGTACAATTTCAGAGAGATCCATACACTTGAACACAAGTTATTGTCTGGAAACTAGAAAAATGCTTGTTTTTTGGCTCCTTTTTGGCCTCAAATTCCTAAACGTTTAGGGCAATTACCCCCAAACTCAAACCCAGTTTTCCCTTTGTGGTATAACCTTGCAGTACAATTTCATAAAGATCCATACACTTACACACAAGTTATTGTCCTGAAACTAGAAAAATGCTTGTTTTTTTGCCCTTTTATGGCCCCTAATTACTAAAATTTGAGGGAATTACCCCCAAAATCAATCCCACCCTTCCCTTTGTGGTATGGTACCTTGCAGTACAATTTCAGAGAGATCCATACACTTGAACACAAGTTATTGTTTGGAAACTAGAAAAATACTTATTTTTGGCCCCTTTTTCCTACACTTTTTGGGCAATTACCCCTAAACTCACTTCCAGCTTTCCCTTTGTGATATGGAACCTTGTAGTACAATTTCATAAAGATCCATACACTTACACACAAGTTATTGTCATGAAATTAGAAAAATGCTTGTATTTTGCTCCTTTTTGGCTCCTAATTCCTTAAATTTGGAGGCAATTACCCCCAAAATCAATCCCAGCCTTCCCTTTGTGGTATGGTACCTTGCAGTACAATTTCAGAGAGATCCATACACTTGAACACAAGTTATTGTTTGGAAACTAGAAAAATACTTATTTTTGGCCCATTTTTGGCCCCTTATTCCAAAACTTTTTGGGCAATTACCCCCAAACTCACTTCCAGCTTTCCCTTTGTGATATGGAACCTTGCAGTACAATTTCATAAAGATCCATACACTTACACACAAGTAATTGTCATGAAATTAGAAAAATGCTTGTATTTTGCCCCTTTTTGGCTACTAATTCCTAAAATTTGGAGGCAATTACCCCCAAAATCAATCCCAGCATTCCCTTTGTGATATGGAACCTTGTGATACAATGTCAGAGAGATCCATAGACTTATGCACAAGTTATTTTCATGAAACTAGAAAAATGCTTGTTTTTTGCCCCTTTTTGGCCCCTAATTCCTAAAATTTGGAGGCAATTACCCCAAAAATCAATCCCAGCATTCCCTTTGTGATATGGAACCTTGTGGTACAATGTCAGAGAGATCCATACACTTACACACAAGTTATGTCTGGAAGTTAAAAAAATGCTTATTTTTGGCCCGTTTTTGGCCCCTTATTCCTTAACTGTTGGTACCAAAAAAAACATTCAGGTATAACTAATTTGATAACATTCAACCGCCTATGCGTTTCTTTGCAGAATTAAGTCAGAAGATGACATTGGTCGACAAAGGACTCTCAGTTACACATGGATGTATATAAAAATTTCCTTCTAGATACTAGCTTTTGATCATAAACAAACTTCTGTCCATGTTTGGTACAAATCCAGGATAGTTTAAGAAAGTTATTAAAATTTTAAAAACTTTAACCACAGAGTGAATGTAATGTTTCCTGGCAGAAAAAAACTAAGTCCATTTATAAGTAAAATACGGAAAAACAGGAATTTTTTTTTTACAAAATTTACTTCTGGATACTATCCTATGATCATAAACAAGCTTCTGTCCAAGTTTGGTAGAAATCCAGGATAGTTTAAGAAAGTTATTAAAATTTCAAAAACTTTAACCACAGAGTGAATATTTGTGGACGCCGACGGAATGTCGGATTGCTATGTCTCGCTATTTCGACAAAAGTCGAAGGCTGGACAAAAATCAGCCTTAAAGGGAAAAAGCTCTATACAGAGTTAACTGAAAATTACAGTAATGTTGACATATTTGTAGATCTTATCCTCCTGATAATTTTTCCTTTTTAAAGTTTCTATTTATCTATTATAGTTTTCAAGATAATAGACTAAAATGCAAAAAAATGTAAAGAATTATCATTCAAGGGCAACAACTCCAAAACAAGTCGAATGAAGATTTCATCCATAATGGCTCATTTGTAGATATTGTCTTTCTGATCCTTTGTGCTATTGAAAGTTTCTATCTATCTATTACAGTTTTCCATATAAAAGGCAATAATGGGAAAAATCGTCATTAAAGGGCAATAACATTAAGGAGTCGACTAACGATTTTGGTCATGTTGACTTATTTGTAGATCTTGTCTTGCTGATCATTTTGCTTGTATTATTTCTTTCTATCTATTATAGTTTTTAAGATATTTATAATGCAAAAATGCTGATCATCATTAAAGGGCAATACATGTAGCTCTAATAAGGAGTCGTCTGACAATTTTAGTCATGTTTGAGTTATTTCTAGATCTTGTCTTGCTGATCAATTTTGCTTTTTAAAGTTTCTGTCTATTATAAATTTCAAGATAACAGGAAAAATTTGTTAAAAATGGTAAAATTATCATTTAACATTATTAAGGGCAATAACTCCTATAAGAAGTCGTCTGACAGTTTTGATGTAGAGCTCAACATTCTGAATATTTTTGTCTTGTCAGAATTTCTCTATTTATAGCAGTTTTCAAAATTATAGGCAAAACTTGCATTTTTATTTACCCCTATGTTCTATTTTTAGCTATGTCACCCATCTTGGATGGCAGGTGGCCTGGGGTCCATCGGGACAATTTAAACTAGATACCCAAATGATGATTGTGGCCCAGTTTGCTTAAATTTGGCCCGTTAGTTTCAGAAGAGAAGAATTTTGTAAAAGTTAACCACAGACAATGGACGCAGAGTGAACACCTTTCAGCCAGGTGAGCTAAAAAACAAACTTCTGAAAACACCATTGCATAAGAGACATGATTATTAGGACAAAAAGGTTCGAATGAGAAAAAAAGGAAAACAAGAGTGCACACCCTGAAATGTCTTCCCTGCTTATGAATTTCATACCAGACACCAAATATAGTTAGAATACTGCAGAAACAGATCTAATTACGAAAATTTAACATTGATCAATGAACTATAAAAATGAGGTCAAGGTCAGATGAACCCTGCCAGACAACATGAACATCATGCAATCATTACATAAACCAAATATAGTTGACCTATTGCTTATAGTTTCTAAAAAATGTAAATACATGTGTAACCATGAAAACTTAACATTGACTATTTAAATAAACCATGAGAATGAGGTCAAGGCCAACTGAACCTTGCCAGACAGACATGTTCACTTAACAATCAATCCATAAATCAATTATAGTTGACCTATTGCTTATACAATGTAGTATCTGATTAACATAAATCATGAAAACTTAACATTGACCAAAAGCAATGAATCATGAAAAAGATAAGATGAAATTGGCCATACAGACATGAACACCTTACAAGCATTCACCACAAATAGAGGCCTTATATTTAATAATAATAAGGCTATTAATTATAGTGTCTTGTATAAATTCATGAACCATGAAAAAAGGTCATCAATCAGATGAAACCTTCCAGACAGACTTTTACATCTTAAAATCATTCCTTTTGTGACAGGATTGCTTCCCTTAGAACATTTAGTAGATACTTAGTCAGCCGTAAGCGGTTGAGCTAAGGAAGTACTTCTTTAGCTCAGTCAGTTAACGCGCTGCCTTGTAACACAGAGGTCCCGGGTTCGAGTCCCGGAGGAGACATGCGATTTTGCAAGTAGAATCATGCTCTCCGGTTACATTGGCGCCCAACAATAAAAACCCATGGTTAGAAGAAATACCTAGCCAGGTTAAAATATAAATATAAAAAAGATGAAGATATCATCATTATAAGAGTATAATGACTCTTGAGGTGGGGGAAGTGTGACGGGATTGCTTCCCTTAGAACATTTAGTAGATACTTAGTCAGCCGTAAGCGGTTGAGCTAAGGAAGTACTTCTTTAGCTCAGTCGGTTAACACGCTGCCTTGTAACACAGAGGTCCCGGTGGAGACATGCGATTTTGCAAGTAGAATCATGCTCTCCGGTTACACTTTCACCAAATACAGCTGATGTATTGCTTTAACAATGTTTAAATTATCTGAGAGAGACCAAACAACAAAAACTTAACATGGGCCAATGAACCATAAAAATGAGGTCAAGGTCAGATGAAACCTGCCATTCAAAATGTTCAAGCAGTCACTCAACCATAAAATTGAGGTCAAGGGCAATGGACATATCACAGTTGTTTTCCATTCGTTTGCTGTGTTTGAGCTTTTGATTTTGCCATTTGTTTAGGGACTTTCCGTTTTGAATTTTCCTCAGAGTTCGGTATTTTTTGTGATTTTACTTTTTTGTAACATAAGGCATCTGCATACAAGCAATTTTGTATATTAGATGTTAGTTATACGTCCTTGATACAAGGTATGAAGCATCCAGGTTTTCTACCTTCTAAAAAACATAGCTTTTACAAATAGTTTACGCCATCACCACATAATTGGAATACAGTTGTACCTTTATCTGGTATTCTGCAACAGACAAAAATCCACTATTTGGTAAAATCAGGAACAGATATATGTATATACTGTTCCTAGGTAAAATGTGGCTTTAAACTGAGGGTTATATCTGAGAATGTATATCTTTTTGTCATAGTTTATATCTCATATATCATATATAAACTATGACAAAAAGATAATACAATTGTTACTTAAGCATGTTCAAATACATGATCATACATAGGTATCTTTTACGGGAAATAATTTATCTTTTAAAATAGGTAAAATAGAATTTTCGTTTTGGGTGGGTCAATTTTTATCTGATCGAGGGGTGAATGTCCAGTAGGGGTGTTGTACTATGATTTTTATAATAGGGGTGTAGCGATTTAATTTCAAAGCGACCATCTTGTCTAGACAATGTTTCTAAAAATAAATTATGTTAATGGCGCCCGAAATTGACTAACACAACACGAATTACTGAAATTTACTCTTTATTTTATAAAAAATCAGCCCATTCAATACATTGATAGGTCAATCTATAAAGTCCTTAGTTCCCTATAAGCAGAAATGAGTAGACTCGGTATGGAGTGTCCCATTATCAAGGATTTTTCTTCAAATTTTGGAATGACCTGGAATGTACCAACACAAAAGTAAACGCAGGGGACGATGTGTCAACCGCGAGATTGGAAAGCATAAACAATGTCTTATTTAACACAATAAAGACGACAATCTGATATCTACAAAAATTAACAACATTACTAAAATATTACCTGGATTTAAGTTAACAATATTCCTCCTCAAATTATATCTTCATCTTGTCCTTTTTAGTATCGCAAGTTCACGATTTATGTCACGTGATCTACTACAGTAACGTCGATTTGTTTAAAGATGGCGGCGCCCATTCACACTAAAATATTAGTATAAAACGCTCAAAAATGAGCGATAGTCTTCATAAACCTGGTCTGTACAAATGGAAGAGACAAACTGACCCAAAAGTTTACTCAAGATCTCAGGTTTATACATTAATTGTGAAAGCAGGGGCTGTTCAGTTATATATTTTTTACTATTTTAACCAAATTTTTAGTCTTTATATGATGACTTATCTGCAGAAAGAGTTCAAGCCAAAGGAACTGAGTTCCAAATAATATACATGTTAATTTTTATTTACTTCAGAAATAAGGTTTTTACGACTTTGATGTAAGTTGGTATTCCAAGGCACAAAATGCTTTGCATTGGAGAAAACTTTTTCTGAAAAATAAATTTCTTGTTGGATGTTCAACATTCTTACTAGACATGCTTTTTTATAAACCTAGTATGTGTCTCATTTTCATTGGCAGAATCCCACCATGTCTTTCTAGAGATGAGTCTTCTCATGTTGCAATATCATGAACAGCAATAAAATTTAGGGCTCATGCTACCAGGCGACTTGGTCAAAGAAGTTGCTTTCTGGTCTGTCACTTTGTTTTTAGGCATTCAATTTTTTTGACATAATAAATGTGTAAACCTTAATGTATTGTTATGAAACTTGGGACAAAAGATTGATCCCCCTTTGTTCTATATTTTAATGATAAATGGACTAACTGTTTACAGTCAACAGCACATTTTTACACTGACAGCAGCCATTACAGACAGACATGACCTTTACAATTTTTGTTTGTTTTAAACAACCTTTTATCCTGAGATTATTTCCAATCAGAGAGGTGAAATGCATCTTTTGAACACAAAAAAAAAGACTACTGACAAAAAAGGTTTACATGTCATTGTGTTACCAAGTGTGAAAATGTAAAAGGAATTTATAAATTGCCATCATATTGACAGGGGAGGGGGGAGGGGGGTATAATTTTTTTTTATAATACTTCCTGAAATGCTAAACATATTATAATTGTTAATCCTATGTAGAAACATTCTGAATGAAAGACTTAAGTAGACTGAAGTCATAGTTCAATTTTTACCCAAATATATCCTTGAGTGTATGTTGTCTTAAGTATCTGAGCAATTCTATACACTTAGAATTAGATACATTTGTCAATGTTTGTCCTACATTTTTGTATTTAAGGTTTTATGTCCCATAGAATAATGCATAAAAAGGTGTAAAGGAATATAATTACATGAAATTTTGGACAGTACAACAGATCACAAAAAACACCAACACTCAACTCAAAAATATTATTTCCGAGAACGATTGCCTCTTAAAGTAAGACAATTATATAATATTGCAAATTGAACATTTTTTAGCTTATTTTACTGTACTTAGCTTTCAGACAACTGATAACATACCTGCCAACATGTCAAAATGCCCATGGGGGTTTTATGTGCAAGATGGTTCTCATAGTTCTACAAAACCTTCGAAGGGGCCTTCAAATTTATTTTATGTTGTTTTTTGCTTCTTCATACTTTTACAATCCTATAGCCATGGTAAAATTCATTGTTTTGTTTTAAATTTTGGACAAAATTGCTCTCTCAAGATTTCCATTTGGGAGCTTTCATGGGTGAAATCCCCCGTAAATAGTGACAGTTGGCAGGTACATGTATGTGATATATGTGAAAGGAGACTATTAATCCATGGGACTATTGAAACTTTTTTTCAGACAATTGGGCTTTTCATCCTTTTATATAAATTTTGTGTGAAAGATTTATTATTTTAAAAATGTTCAGTTTCTTGATTTTTTTTCAGAAAGTGACTACGAATAATGACATACAGGACTGGATTAAGGTAAGCTGTTTTCATTTAGAACACTACATGCAGTAACCCTATCTATGTTAAGTTGCGTACATAAATTTATGACAAAAAATATCAAACATCTTCAACTCTTTGAAAATAAATGTTTAAGGGTGTTTTAATTTAAAGGTTCTATATACATTTGGCTTTTATTTATCTAGAAAATTAGAAGGCCATAAAAAAGGGGATATAAAAACTATGAGTTGAAGAGGAACAATACCACAGCGATAAGAAAAACAATAGTCGGCAAAGACTCCAAAGAAAACTAAAGAATTAGCAATTGAATACCCACCCAAAACACGGATCAACTCGAGTGTGATCAGAGCTTGCTCAACCACATATTTCTCATGCCAATTAAAAACAGTTTATGAATCATTTGTTACTTTGGATCAAGGTGATAAGCCTTTAGTTTCATTTGATTTCACAACATCTTGAAATTATTACTTAACAAATATCAGTTCTGATTGGTTGTGTAAGACATAAAAGTGTCCTGTGAAAAAATGTTTGCCTGGACATTTTTTCACAGAATTAAAGTATTAAATACAAATGTATTGTCTAATGCCATGAAATTTTGTCTCTTAAGTGTACAGAATTTTACAGCAACAGTTATGAAATAGTGTTCTTCCACAGGACAATATTTCATAGTAGATGACATTGAATTATGTCCTTCAAGGGAAGTAATACAAAGGTCATCAACATGTTTTATTAATATACTTGAATTTAATTAATTAAGAAATGTGTATTAGAAATAGATGAATTTAAACATAAAAAAGTGATGGCAGTAAATACCCACAAATTTACAACTATTAAAGTTCAAAGAAATACACAGAAAAGTTCAATGAAAATTCAAGGACCACATTTAATGGTAAAAAGGGTCCAGTGATAACATGTAAATTGTGTTCAGGATTGGCTAGAATGAGATATAAAATTTGAAACATGTCCCGGACAGGGGAAGATATATATGAAATTACAGTATAGGTATACATGTAGAAGACCCGATCAACAATAATTGCTTCATGTTGATGTAATTTATAATACTGCAAAGAACTCTTTAACTTTTTAGAAGGTTAAACTTGTTTAATCTTTGAAACTAAAATTATGAAAGATTGTGGTTTAAAAATAATAAAATGACCTTAACTGTACCTATGGTTTATGATTGATTTGATTATTTTTGTAGAAAGTTGAGGATGCTTCTAATCAGGCAGCAGATGCTGTCTTTGGGGACAAAAAGAAAAGAATAACAGCTTTGAGAAATGTTGATCAACTGAGAGAACATGATGATTCTCATTCTGAGGGTAATTTGTGGTGATAAATCAGTATTAATATTTTATGCACTACATGTAGTATTTTGTATTTTCTTATATTTCTGTTTTATTGTCAGAAGTTGTTTTGAAGAAATAAACAGTTCCCTATGGAAACAAAGCCAATTTAAAAGGAGACTGTTAATGTTAACTATGCTGAAAATTTATTTGAATACAGATTTAGGTACTTGGATCAAATTTATTTATTTACATTGCATTTTTATACAACCATAATTTTGATAGATCAAATCTTTCATGGGTAAGTGTAACAGTATCCCATGGTAAAGGAGTAAATACTTATATGATACACAAAAGGTCACTGCACGATGTTAAACAAGTTGCAGGATTTTAACTGGCAGATTTAAAGGGAAAATTCGCGATTTTTTACTTTTCATCTTATTATGTTCATAATACCATAAAAAACATATTCACCAAGTTTTATCTGGATATGAACACTAATAAAGAAGAAAATTGGGAATTAATAATTTAATTTATTCGAACTTCCTGACTTATGTGACGTAGTTTAAGTCTTTTTGCATGCCGGGAGTGAATAAATCTCATTGTAAATCTTGTTCGTTAATCATCTAATAACGCGATTTAAAGCGCATCGACGACTTTTGGTGTAGCTATTAACCAACTAATAATTGAGAAAGTAAAGTGATCCGCCGTGCAACTTTCAAAATTAAAATGTACGATTTATATTTAAAGGATTTCTGATATGATTATAGTAATAAAAGTAAATCATACAATAGAATATATTTTTATGAATTTTTTTTCCAACGGATATTTTGAACAAACATATATAACTGATACTGTTTTAAAAATGCATGTTTGTATTCTCACCTGAAGGCTTTTACTTCAGTCTAGCAAACATTTTTCACTAGTACTGTGTAAATACAATGTGTACTGTACTGTGACACTTAGTGACTACCTGTTGAATGCGTGGTTAAATTCAAGGTAATTAAAAGATTAGCATTATGTAATTCTATTCTTTTGATCTTCACTCAGTGAATTTTAGCCAACACGGTTCATCGTTACAGGTGTGAACAACATTTCGTATGAATGATAAAAACATTAATTATTTGGGGAGGAATATGGTGGCAAATACCTGAATCGCCGTTATATATATCTTTTATATTTTGCGTAAGCTTAATTTTATAATAGATAGGTGAGTATTTTGTTGTAACATCGAAATTCTGTATATCTTTCAATTAAATAATTTATAAATAAAAATGGCCCACGAAAACGAGCGTATAAACCAAACACTGTACTTACTTTTTTCAAATTATCATGGGTATTAACCTGGAATATTTCAATGTTTAGCGAACATTATCGTGGTTACATGATTAATATAGCTTGGTCCGTCCACAGCGATCTACATTTACATAATCGGGAATGCCCTTATTAAAATATTTAAAATCTCACAACGTATACATACTTTAGCTATTTGACCAACGATGTTTAAAAAAAAATAACAGAATCAATATAACGTCAACTTTCCTTTTTTGAATGGAGACAGACCGGCGGAATCAATTTTCAATGTGCTTTATATCTTGTACCTTTGAAAGACTTGTCATTCATTCATAAACCCACTCTATACCAGAGACATATATGTCAGTCTTAACTGACAAGAATACACCTCAAGCGGACAAGCAGTATATTCTTTAAATTTCTGTGATTTAATACGAAGAAAGAAAAAAATCCCGAAATTAATTTGATACTTTGATACTCAATATTTTTCCTGGAAAATATTCACATCCTCGTTTGGTCTGAAAATAAGATAAGAATTTGGTATACAGAACATGCAGATGTGTGAATGTCATAAAACCTTATCAGAAACCAATGTGAACCTGTATACGTAAGACCTCATGGGACGTCACCTAACCACATACAGGTAATATACAAGTAGCTCTGTTATACCCGGAAATGTCAAGGTAAATCACTACCGATACAGAATGTACCAATGCAAAGAAAATTCTGATGATTGTGAAGCGTGACCATTCATGATTTTAGAGGAGTCTTAGGTGGAAATTGCCGGTACGATTTAAATTCTGACTAGATTTTTTTCTCTCAATTTAAATCACTGAACTAAAAAAAAAGAAACCAACGTCCAAGATCAGAATTATTCATGTAAATTCATAAATACAACGTTCTTATTTTGAAACTTTCAATATACTTTACCTCCAACCACCGCCCCACTCCCAACCTGGGAACAGTATATCTAACATTACAATGTTTGTGTACCTGCCCAAATAAAATAAAAAAAGAAGAAAAAAGAAAGAGATGAACGGTAAGTCACATCAGATTCAAATATTTATATGGTTGATTGTCGTTAACTAGAGATGTATAGTTACATGTCTCTGCGTTACAGGAAAGTATATACTTGAAATAGATTTATGATGAATAATATGCAACTGCGGCACCCCTTTTTGTCAAAGTGTACATGCATGTATTTTAATGACTGTCCGTTATTTCGATTAAGAATGACAATTGTACGTGAAATTCTATAGTTGCCAGTGAGACTTTCTTTTACCAGATATGCGACTTTTCGTATTTATATTTTCTCTCATATTACTCTCATTTAATATTTTATGCATAAGTGCAATATTTGGGAATAGTTTATTCCCCCCACAAGCCAACTAAATAAATTAATCAACCATCTAGCTAATCAGACGTTAATACAAATACTATCAGTCTATCCGGAGTGAAGTTTCTTTATTTCTTCAAATAGATTTTTTGGGGATCATTAGTGTACGTCCAGTGGCATATATATTACATGCATGTCGGAACAGGAAAGTTAGCATAATGTACTTTTAGAACCATGTTCACATCATTATACATTATACTCATCAATTGTGGTGATGACGCATTTCTTTAACTGTTCGAGAACAATCTAAATGAAATATAAATCTGTGATTTTACTATGTCCATAACTTCGATGAACCAAAGCAAGTAAGATATCAACCTGTATTTAAATCAAATTTGTTCTGGATGTTTCTCTGTTATATTCAAAAACATGTATATATTTTTAATTGCGACTATCTATAGTTCCGTAACTTTCTATCTAGGCGTATTAACCAATGATCGAGAAGTGCGTACATTTTTGTTAAATCAATATTTGTATGTTTCAAAATGTCCATCATTATTGACAACGAGTATATACTTACATTTCCACAATTTACCCTTGGAAAAATTTTATCAAATCTTTTTTTGGAATTATTTAGATTTTCATAAATATCATTCTTTACACCAGAAATGTTATTTATAAACAAGCGTATGTGTTTAGTAATGACTAGTATATCACTATCGGACACGCAAGACAAAGATATATATTACACCTGATAGTTTCAAAATGGAAAGTTACAAGTTATCGGCCGTGTACACTGATCAATACCCTTAGAAATGAAGGAATGCATGAACTTGCTTTATGTATTTGTGTAATAAGAGTTTTTAAGCCTGACAGGAAATCGCATGAATACCTGGACGTGTCACCTCACAATACCTCTGGGAATAATTCCTTTAGCCACGCTGGTGATCAGATAAGGGAAAGTCTGAATTTATTTAAATAATTAGATATAAGAAAATGTGGTATGAGTGCTAATGAGACAACTCTCCATCCAAGTCACAAATTGTCAATTTATAAAAGTAAACCATTATAGGTCAAAGTACGGTCTTCAACACGGAGCCTTGGTTTATAACATAAAAGTTTATTACATAAAAGAATTATGAACAAATTAGATTTTCGAAAACAATTATACACGGGACACTTATTTATGACTTTGAGCTTTGACTTTTTAACTAATTCCCATATAAATTTCTTGTTTCAAAACTTAGTAAAAACAAGGATTTGTATAGTAACAAATACAAATCCTTGGTAAAAAAAACAGTTTAAATACGACAGACCATATAGTTATTTAAAAAAAATAATTACATTTTCCGTATCATGTTAGTTAGGAAAGGTTGCACAACCATGTCTATTATAATCATTTTTGTTACCCGGGAAACTGTTTATGCTTTTCTTGTCGGATAAAACAACTGTACGCTTGACAAGATATCGACACGCAATTACGACTACGTTAGGTTACTGCTGGTTTTGGTCCTTTGTGGTTTATAGATATATCGTGGTTTCTAAACCGAGAAGATGTCAAAATGGCCGCATGCAGAGAATTGATACTCTAAATTTAAAATCGATGGTGATCTCTTATATAGCAGAATAAAACTTTAATATTTATGAATTTGTGCTTTTTTATACAGAATGAACATAATATCATTTTTTCATTTTTTTGCGAAGTTTCCCTTTAAGTAAATTTTGTATGTTGTTCAATAACTTAACTTTGTTTGGATTTGTATACTGGGAACTTTACATAATTGTTGCAATTGTTGAACATAACATACTGTACAATTAAAAAAGATATAAGGCATTTTTGAAATGTCATGCACTAGCTCAGTAGCTTGGATCAAATTACTACTCACTTAACACTGTCGTTGGGATTGACGAATGTAGGCATGCTTTTGATTTGTTGACAAATTTTCTGGTTCATCATTCCAGAGTAATGGGATTTTTGAACAGTCATATTTGATGCAATATTTGTATGCTTGAGAATATCCTAATTCTTGTTTTTCTACACAACCATTTTATTAACTTCTGATTAAATGCCTTTTAAGTATTCTATGGAACAATTACAATATGCACTATGAGCATGTATCATGCACTCTTGGTGCAGCTGCTGATTGTAAATTAGAATAACAACCACAGAAGTTAATTCCTGGCTTTTAGATTTACACAAGGGAATACTTCATGACTAACTGGTAACCAGGTTCATAAAGTATCTTTAGACTTACACAAGGGAATACTTCATGATTAACTGGTAACCAGTTTCATAAAGTATCTTTAGACTTACACAAGGGAATATTTCATGATTAACTGGTAACCAGGTTCGTAAAGTATCTTTAGACTTACACAAGGGAATACTTCATGATTAACTGGTAACCAGGTTCATATATTATCTTTAGACTTACACAAGGGAATACTTCATGACTAACTGGTAACCAGGTTCATAAAGTATCTTTAGACTTACACAAGGGAATACTTAATGATTAACTGGTAACCAGGTTCATAGAGTATCTTTAGACTTACACAAGGGAATATTTCATGATTAACTGGTAACCAGGTTCATAGAGTATCTTTAGACTTACGCAAGGGAATACTTCATGATTAACTGGTAACCAGGTTCATAAAGTATCTTTAGACTTACACAAAGGAATACTTCATGATTAATTGGTAACCAGGTTCATAAAGTATCTTTAGACTTACACAGGGGAATACTTCATGATTAACTGGTAACCAGGTTAATAAAGTATCTTTAGACTTACACAAGGGAATACTTCATGATTAACTGGTAACCAGGTTCATAAAGTATTTTAGACTTACACAAGGGAATACTTCATGATTAACTGGTAACCAGGTTCATAAAGTATCTTTAGATTTACACAAGGGAATACTTCATGACTAACTGGTAACCAGGTTCATAAAGTATCTTTAGACTTACACAAGGGAATATTTCATGATTAACTGGTAACCAGGTTCGTAAAGTATCTTTAGACTTACACAAAGAAATACTTCATGATTAACTGGTAACCAGGTTCGTAAAGTATCTTTAGACTTACACAAGGGAATACTTCATGATTAACTGGTAACCAGGTTCATATATTATCTTTAGACTTACACAAGGGAATACTTCATGACTAACTGGTAACCAGGTTCATAAAGTATCTTTAGACTTACACAAGGGAATACTTCATGATTAACTGGTAACCAGTTTCATAAAGTATCTTTAGACTTACACAAGGGAATATTTCATGATTAACTGGTAACCAGGTTCGTAAAGTATCTTTAGACTTACACAAGGGAATACTTCATGATTAACTGGTAACCAGGTTCATATATTATCTTTAGACTTACACAAGGGAATACTTCATGACTAACTGGTAACCAGGTTCATAAAGTATCTTTAGACTTACACAAGGGAATACTTAATGATTAACTGGTAACCAGGTTCATAGAGTATCTTTAGACTTACACAAGGGAATATTTCATGATTAACTGGTAACCAGGTTCATAGAGTATCTTTAGACTAACGCAAGGGAATACTTCATGATTAACTGGTAACCAGGTTCATAAAGTATCTTTAGACTTACACAAAGGAATACTTCATGATTAACTGGTAACCAGGTTCATAGAGTATCTTTAGACTTACGCAAGGGAATACTTCATGATTAACTGGTAACCAGGTTCATAAAGTATCTTTAGACTTACACAGGGGAATACTTCATGATTAACTGGTAACCAGGTTAATAAAGTATCTTTAGACTTACACAAGGGAATACTTCATGATTAACTGGTAACCAGGTTCATAAAGTATTTTAGACTTACACAAGGAAATACTTCATGACTAACTGGTAACCAGTTTCATAAAGTATCTTTAGACTTACACAAGGGAATACTTAATGATTAACTGGTAACCAGTTTCATAAAGTATCTTTAGACTTACACAAGGGAATACTTCATGATTAACTGGTAACCAGGTTCGTAAAGTATCTTTAGACTTACACAAGGGAATATTTCATGATTAACTGGTAACCAGGTTCATAGAGTATCTTTAGACTTACGCAAGGGAATACTTCATGATTAACTGGTAACCAGGTTCATAGAGTATCTTTAGACTTACGCAAGGGAATACTTAATGATTAACTGGTAACCAGGTTCATAGAGTATCTTTAGACTAACACAAGGGAATATTTCATGATTAACTGGTAACCAGGTTCATAGAGTATCTTTAGACTTACGCAAGGGAATACTTCATGATTAACTGGTAACCAGGTTCAAAAAGTGACTTTAGACTTACACAAAGGAATACTTCATGATTAACTGGTAACCAGGTTCATAAAGTATCTATAGACTTACACAAGGGAATATTTCATGATTAACTGGTAACCAGGTTCGTAAAGTATCTTTAGACTTACACAAGGGAATACTTAATGATTAACTGGTAACCAGGTTCATAGAGTATCTTTAGACTTACACAAGGGAATACTTCATGATTAACTGGTAACCAGGTTCATAGAGTATCTTAGGCTTACACAAGGGAATATTTCATGATTAACTGGTAACCAGGTTCATAGAGTATCTTTAGACTTACACAAAGGAATACTTCATGATTAACTGGTAACCAGGTTCATAAAGTATCTTTAGACTTACACAAGGGAATACTTCATGATTAACTGGTAACCAGGTTCATAAAGTATCTTTAGACTTACACAAGGGAATACTTCATGATTAACTTGTAACCAGGTTCATAAAGTATCTTTAGACTTACACAAGGGAATACTTCATGACTAACTGGTAACCAGGTTCATAAAGTCTCTTCTACCTTTAAACTTTATTTTGTGAAACAATTCCAATCAATCTGTTTTCTTAAGGCCACTGGCAAACAATGAAAATTAATGTATGTTATAAAGATCATGACATATAGGGACAACAAACTCAGAAGTATTCACAGACTGCTAAGTGGATTAAAATCAATTTGTCTCATAAAGGGAAGAAATCCCTTGTTTCAGATTAGAATGTTAAAACTTTTAAAAAAATACAATAAAATACTCAGGAAATTAACAAATTAATAACAATTCTAAATATTTCAGCTCAGGAACTACTTTCACAATGGGTGAATGATAAGATCAGATTGGACAATGATATGGATGAATTTGATGATGAACCATGGAATAAAAGATCATTAGAAGTCAAAAAGGAATGGGACCACCTCGTAGACTATACTAATGAGGAGTATGGAATGAATTACTACAGGAAACAATACAAGGACGAAGAAGGTAATATTTTCTTTCTTCTTTAATAGAAAAGAAAGGATAAGGGGTCTCCATCCATGTACATGCACAGCAAAAAACACAAAAAGCAAAGGAACAGTGATTTTATTGTTGTTCTTCATCTTAAAGTCACAGTGAGGCCTTCAACACAGAGCAAAAAAACTGACCATAAAGGCAACTTAAAAGGGGAACTGTAAATGTGAACTGTATATGCTGAATGTTTATTTGAATACAAATTGATATGTTTAGTCTACCATTGTTTGTATTAACTTTTAAATTTCTTCATCCATTGCTATTAATTGGAAATGATCTATGGGATGTAATGATAGATCTATAGATAATAAAAAAATTGTAAAGTACAAAATGTTACTATTTTGTTATTATGAATTAAAGGAGACTTCTGATATGTGACAGAAACACAATAAAAACAAGATTAAAAGGAGACATCTTGACTAGATTGAGGTTAGCATACCATCTTCAATATTTGAATGCAGTTGATTTTTGTGGTATTACAACAATCCTGTAATAAGAGGACAGAATACAATATTTTCCTATAAAAATACTTGTTCCATTAGGACAGACAATTTTTCTCTAATCCTTTTGCAGAAAAACAATTTGTTATGCTAGCTGCAACAGAAGTTGCAGAGGCGAGACTTTTTGGTGCTGTTTCCATACCGATTATGAGAATAATTATGAAACATTGTTTTACATTTGTAATGTGCCTTTTATAGCTTGCTATTTGCTATGCAATATGTGTTTTGCTCATTGTTGAAGGCCTTATGGTGACCTATATTTGTCAATATCTTTATACCAAGCATTAGTGAGGTGTAAAATGTTGACAAATATAATGACTACCCATGTTAAAATGAGCATAGAACATGGCATTATAGAACTATTTCGATTCTAATAGGAAAATTTAGAACTTTTGTACTTCAAAGCTGGCCTATTATACACGTTTGAAAGGCAGCCATTTTGATTTTGTGAATCGAAAACGATAAAGAAATCAACAGTTTCACAATAAAAAATGAACAGATACCTGTAAACTTACTTTTAGAATGATTTTCTTTAATTTCCTAGCAAGCAACACCAACACAAATGTCAATTTTGTTCTCTGGCGTTGTTCAAAATACAACTGACATTGCAATTTAAATTGTGAAATCAATCACGTGCAGGCCATGTTCTATTGCAATTTGAACATGGCTTTGTTCCCAAAGCGAAAGAAGAATGCCATATTAGAATAATTGTTAGATATTGACATATTGTAATTGTTATTCATTGTTTTAAAAATTGTTACTGTTATGAATTACAGATCCATATGCCTTCTTGGCAGACATGGATGAAGATCGAGCAGTCGACACAGTACTTGATCAGATGTTGCAGAAAAAAGTGGTAGCTGACAGAGTTGTCAATGATCTGGGCTTTGATGATAATAGCAAATACAAAGATCCAAGACTTAAAATGGAGTTAAGACATAAACAGGTATGTAAGTCTCCACTGTTATATATACAACTAATTATTATCATTAAATTTAATTCTCTTCTCTTCTCTTATTCTAAACAGTTTTATTCATTTCAAGACTGGATGTGTGGATGGATTGTTCTAATTCTACATTGGTCAAATTTTGTTATGCCCCTGCCGTAGCGGAGGGGGCATTCAGTTTTACCCCTGTACGTCCGTACGTCCCAAAATTAGTTTCCGTTCTCTAACTTTAGTTTGCCTTAACCAAATGTATGAAACTTATACACAATGCTTATTACCACAAAATACAGATCTAGATTGAATTTTGGAGTTGTCACTTTAACTGTTTTAGAGTTATTCCCCTTTACAAATGGAAAAATTGCTGAATTTTTCATTTCCATTCTCTAAAGTAAGTTAGCCACAACCAAATATTATGAAACTTATACACAATGCTTATTACCATAAAATACAGGTCAGGTTTGATTTCTAGTGGTGTCACTTTAGCCGTTCTAGAGTTTTGCCCCTTTACAGAAATAAAAATTGCTGAATTTTTCGTTTCTGTTCTCTAACTTAAGTTTACCTCAGCCAAATGTTATGAAACTTATACACAATACTGGTTACTACAAAACTCAAATCAATTATAAATTTGGGTAGGGTCTCTTTTATCGTTCTTCAGTTATGTCCCTTTAAAACTTTATATGATATGTAAGCGGGGGCATCATCTGTGTCCCATGGACACATTCCCCATTTATTATAATGTAATATTTTCTTGTCGTGGTCTGGTATTGTTATTGTGGTGCTATGAAAAAACTGAACAATGCCATAAATATATCACACAGATACAATACAATATATCAGGGTTTAAGCTAGGATTTTGAGGGCTTTAGTCACTTTTGCGTGGGATGAAAATCAACCTTATTTTGGGTAGCAGCAAGGGACCTAGGATGTATATTACTATCTATACATCTTTGTCAGACTTTGAAGGACTTAGGCATACTAGGCAGTTACTGCATGATTTGTCTGATGTGGCAGTTTAATACGAAGATTAGGATATAAGATCAAGAAATCTAGTTCACAATTTCACTTCAGTTAGTTTCTGGGTACATTCCTAATCAGCAAAAGTTGGGATCCATTTTTTTTTAAACCAGGAATCACAGCATAAATGAACTTGTAAGGACTATTTCACTGCATTATTCATACTCATTATCCTTAAAACGTTTTAAAGCAATATTTAGAATTAATTCTATAAAGTTGGAACCAAGGATTTGTACAAATCCTTATTGGAACAATTCTAATGACTTTAAATTGTAATCACGTTTACTTTCGATTTCCAAATGAAATGAAAACGGGAAGTGACAAGTGGATAATAAATTCAGAATGAATCCGGATTCATCTACGGATTGGTTCGTGTTTAAAAAGGGCAGGAAATTATCATTTTTTAAATCAAATTTTCTAAATAAGAACCATATTTGTCTCTCTCGTTTAGTTTAATACTTTATTATTTCGTATTTTACGTTTTAGTGTCTTTAAATTCATAAGAATACTTTCGCGCATGCGCAGTTCATCATAAAGGAAGCACCTGTTTGACTCCTGAAAACATTTCTGAATGTTATGAATAAAGTTCTATCTTTTTAATCGAAATTGTCGAAAGTTTTTGATTAAAAGTTATATCAAATATGACGAAAATACGTTCATTTGACAAAACTACGACAAGCGAACTGCAAATTGTGATCGTTTGAGAAATATTGAAATTAAAATGCGAACTGTCCGAGGGAAAACTCAAATGACAAAACTATGACAAAAGAACTGCAAATTGTGATCATTTGATAAATATTGAAATTGAAATGCCGACTGACTGATTTTACTGGGGAAAATAATTATGATGATCAATTATGAGGTTGATAAATAATTAACGGATTAGTGACCCATCCGATGGCGATAAGCGGATTATCTGTAATCACAACTTATAACAGCTGTGACCTGTTGTAAATGTTAATTAGCTGAGGGTCATAAACTTGTCAGAAACAATAAGACAGGTAGAAGTTTAGTATTTTCATGCGAAAATATTTTTACTCTTTCCAAATTTAAGTGACGAAATTGATTTGGAATACTTTCCTCATTTTGAAAACCGTTTTGAAAATGACGAGCGCTAGCAAAATCAGTGCAATATGTCACACAGATACAATACAATATATCACACAGATACAACACAATATATCACACAGATACAATACAATATTGCAGAATAGTAGAAATGAATGTCTAAAAGTTTGACTAAATATAGTTAAAAGGTTGACTACATTTGTCTTAAGATTGACTATATATGTCCAAATATATTCTACTACTAAATCTTATACAATATGATATTTCCCCTTTCACAAATTTTAAAAATTAAAAATTTTTTATGCCTGGATTTTAAAATGACTAGAGCACTTCATTAAAGAATTATTTGGAGTTTAATCAGAAAATTCTGAACTTTTTTCTTTCAAAGCAAACCAATAAGACACTTTTGAAGGCATCCATTTTGAAACGATGAAGCAAAAATGTTTGAAAATAACCAAGATTTCTAGATTCAAAGTGTACTTATATAAATAAATTTACTTTAAAAAATAATTTATTGAATTTTATGGGAAGCAACTCTTGCAGAATGTACATTTACTCTATCAGCACTGTTCAAAATACAACTGATGTTGCTAATTCAGTTGTGATGAGAAGCCTGTGTACCCATGTTCCATTGGAATTAGAACGTGTCTTAGATTACAAAGGGAAAGTAAGAGCTTCATGATTAAGTTTTTTTTAACTAATTAATTTTCCATAAATAATCACCACTTTGCAAAACAACCTTTGTGTTAAATAGAAATATATAATGCTTTGTTTGAATATCTGCCCTTTTATTATAAACACTTCAAACCTCCTGCCAGCAGCCAGATTAGAGGAAGGGAAACCTGGCAGTTAAAAAGTTATGTTGTATTTTTTATTTTGTTTGTTAATACTACTACTCACAATTAATCAATAAAAGCACACTTTTTTTGCAGCTAAAGTTAATGATTAATTTTTTTGATTTTCAATTTAAACTTCAATTTGTTTTACCTTTTAGGTAAAAGAAAAGAGAGAAAAACATGAAGAACAATTAAACAGAAAACGACGAGAACAACAGGCTAAAAAAGATGCACATCTGAAAGCCAAACAAATGATATTAAAGGTAGATTGTAATTATTATATTTTGGGCAGAGAACTTACATTAAAAATAATGCGAGGCTCCCCACTTTAGGAATGGGGGCTATATTGGTAATTACCTTGTCCATCAGTTCGTCCAAAAATTATTTTTATCACACTTTTTTTTTGGAACCAAATTTGGCCTCAATCATCAAGTTCATCATTGGGATATCTAGTTCCAATAATTACACCTGCCAACCAACATGTCAGACATGTCTAAAAATAGAACATAGGTGTAAAATGCAAGCTTTGCCTACTATCTTGCAAAACTGCTATAGATAAAGAACATCTGACAGGGACAGAAATGTTCAAGATGTTGATATCTACTGTCCCTGTACACCAAAATTGTCAGTTCTTTTAGGAGTAATTGCTCTGAAATGACGATTTTTGTTTCGCCTGTTATGAAAGTAGCGGAAGGCAAGACATAGATATTGCTTTTCTGATGACATCATCGGTGTCAACAATTGATATGTTTTCTGCTTAAGTTAGTTGCATAAGAACTGTCTTGGTCCATTGACTGAATTAATAAGCCATTTTCAATGTTAAGTTTTCTGCTGAAGTTAATTTGATAGGAACTACTGGTGATAGATCAATGATATTTTCAATAAAGTTGCATTACTGTATTTACATATCAGTTTGATGACTATTTTGACTCCCTGCTCCAGTAGGTCATGGTCCAGTGACTTTCAATTAATTACCAATTTTCAATGTTAAGTTTTCTGATTAAGTTAGTTTGATAGGTACTACATACAATAGACAACAATATTTTCTATAAAGTAACATTACTGTATGTACATAATCTACTATTTAATATGTACGTACAGTGGCCTATAACTGCTTACATCCACTTCATTTAAACTTTGGTGGATAGTTATCTCATTGACAAACATACCACATCTTCTTATTTTTATATTCATTGTAGCACTGCACTCAAATTGTATCAAAGAAGGCACACTTCATTGACTTAGATTTAGATTTGATTCATATTTCAATAGTCTGATTTAACTAAACATAATCACATTAAAAAAATGTCTTATGAATAGTTCTTTTGTATTAACTGTACATGCTTGCTTGACCATCTTGAGTTTCTCATCATCTAGTCGTACAAAATAGTTGTTGACAGACTAAGTAGTGTTCTGAGCTATGAAGGACTTCTGATGAAGTTAACAATCCTTGCATGCTTTGAAGCGTCATTCAGGCCACTGTTGTCAATCTGCCGGTTTCTATTAGTCTATTGCAGACTTTCCAAAAGGCAGATATACCTATCGTTGAATTTCATGAATTTGTCAATCAGCCATGCTTTTCTTCTTAAGCGGTGTAAGAACCTTCTTTCAGATGAAAATTCATCCACCATGATCAAGATTTTTACAATTCTGACATACAGGTGTAATACCACCATTGATTTTCCCTATTAGTCTTTGTTAAATTTGCACTTTTCAAAAAATTGTGCAGAATTTATCTTTGTTTCAAATAAAGAAATACTTGGCATGAGTCAATTTTTATCCTATCCAGTACTACAGACAAAATTCACATAACATTTCATTGCATATAAGAAAATTACCATCACTGGAAGTTAACCAATCAAATTTCCACCCCTTTCTAACCTGTTTACTAGCTTTAATAAGGCCACACCAATTTGATTAATAGTTCTTTGGATTTTCCCGCTCCTGTTTTGGAGAAATTGACTTTTAAATAAAATAAAGATATTACCGCTTCCGCCAATTTTTGGGCCGCATGCCACTCCAAAATTAGTTTATCCTTTAAATTTTTTTTTTCTCTTAGACGTTTTTCTCATGCATATATTGCTCCGAGCGATTCAAACGCATGTGTGATAAATCGATTTGTAAATAAAAGGTCTAAAATCGGGATGCCAACATGAAGTTGTGTCAGATCATTGCCGAGGACACGTAGTTATTAAGCACACAGTTATTTGAAATGCATTTCGTTTTACCTGTTCTAGGAGACAAAAATAAAAAATCTTTCGTTAGATGACCACGATCACATCAGTACTTGTTAGAACCATTGTCATCCCCGATCATTGTTTCAACAGACATAGTCCGAGATTACTCCGACGTCCAACAGCTGTTTGCCAGACAAGATGGGGGGGCTGTTGTCCCACGGCCCCAGCTTGTCTGGCAAAACAACCGTTGGACGTCAGAGTAATCTCGGACTACAACAGACATAGATATCTAGAGCTATCTGTCTTGGATGACTTAATATTAAATTCACATGAATTTTTGAAAAATGACAGATTTATCTTATTTTTATGAAAACCCCATATCTCCTTGTTAGTCTATTGACATGCAATCAGAACTCTTTTGTAAGGGAAAATTTAAGAGTTCCAACATTTGAGACCAAACTGGTGCTATTGGGATTGGCATGCTAATAATAATTAGGGATGTGTTATTGGTGCAACCACTTCCAGTTTGAAATACATTGCAGGTTTCAGGGGCAAAAGGAAAAAGTATTTTGCTAAGTCAGAATAATGCATGTGAATGTGGTTAAATGTATTTTAAGGGAATGTTTTAATACATTGAGATCTACATGCATAGCAATATAATTATCTTACTCAGGATGTTGTTGACAATATACTAATCAACATTCACCTCACTCATTATGTTGATCCTATTATGGATAAATACTATTATAATAATAGTTCCAACTGGATGTCAAGCAGCCAATAAACAATCATTACCATATAATGAAAACAACTATATCAAAAGATATTTAATATTTTCAAGGGCATTTTTTTGGAATACATACACATATTTTAGTTGTATTCAACACATTTCATTTACCTAACTAACATAATTCCTCTTGCTAAACTGCATCTGATATGCTTCCTTAATAAATACACATGTATGAATTTAAATGAAAAAGCTTATTTGACGAAATTAATCAAAATTATACTAAACCAAAGCGAACCAAAAAGTTGGGTATGGTACAGACTGTACTACAGGCACAAATACATCAACTTATATGCATAAGAGCATGTTTATCCTCCTTTTTCTTTGAGGTAACCCAGTTTTAACATGTACAAATATTCTAAATCGCACAATTTAAAAAAAAAATTATACCGCTCGCTCCACTTGTAGAGCACCCGCCTCAACAAAACTCATTTTCAAGAAATAAATACAATCAAAAAAATTTCGCTCGCTCGCCCCATATTTTTTGGAGCTTTTGTCCGAAGAACTAAAAATCAAATTGGTGTGGCCTAACCTCAAGTTTCCAAAATATTTTATAGAAAGACCAAATAAAAAAAGAATGGTGCTTTGAAACACCCAAGATATATGTTTATGATTCAGAATTTTTTTACTGCAATAAAATGTAGGATTAGTTTCCTACAGCTGTCAAATTCAAGGGAATATTTTTTTTCAACCCTTTTTCGTATGCAACCGGATGTGACTGCCATGATTTGGTGGTATTACACCTACAGACAAAGGAATAACTCAAAAGTACCAAATAAGTTCGAATTTTTATAAATGCAATAGCCCATAATCTAAAAAAATACCAATTTTGATTGGCTGATAATGATTGTCTCCCTTGGAAAAAGTTCAAAATGGGGAACCAGCTTTTCTTTTTCGTTTAGATTTTATCAAAATTGTGTTTTATAGCTTTTTTCATGATCACAAATGTGCAATCAGGACAAGGGGTCAAAATCCTGTAGTTCTGGCCTAATCACTGAAAGTTAACAGGTATAAAAAGGCAAAACAGATCTGAAAATATATCAACATTATAAGTCCATTCCTTGTATGATTTATTGTCCTTTAATGATGTTTTTTGAACCCATATAATGCAAAAAACTATAATAGATAAAGAATAACTGTTCGCAGAAAAATTGATCTTCAAGACAAGATCAACTATTGTCAGTAAAGCTAAAATTGTAAGTCAACTCCTGATAGAAATTATTGCCCTTTATTTGTGATTTTTATCCATTTTTTCAAATATTATGAGCAAGATAAGATCTACAAACAGGTCAACATTGCTGAAATTGTCCTTATACAATGTAGGAGTTATTACCTTTGTCAGGCACAAATTAAAGAAGATGAAGAAAAAATGTGAACAGTAAAATGATCAGCAGGGCAAATAGGTCAATAAAGCCGAAATTGTAACTCCCATAATCTTATAGAAGTTATTGCCTTTGAATGAAGATTTTTACCTAATATTTTGTATTGTGGGCTAAAACCATAGTCAACAGATCTAGAGGGAAATTGAAAACAGAACAAAAAATGGATCTTAGTCATGAATAAGTATTATATTCTTGTCTTCAATGGTGAAAAAAATCTGTTTAAGTGGATACAAGAACATAAAAGGGATCGTAAGTCATGAATAAGTATTATATTCTTGTCTTCAATGGTGAAAAAAATCTGTTTAAGTGGATACAAGAACATAAAAGGGATCTTAGTCATGAATAAGTATTATATTCTTGTCTTGAATGGTGAAAAAAATCTGTTTAAGTGGATACAAGAACATAAAAGGGATCTTAGTCATGAATAAGTATTATATTCTTGTCTTCAATGTTGAAAAAAATCTGTTTAAGTGGATACAAGAACATAAAAGGGATCTTAGTCATGAATAAGAATTATATTCTTGTCTTCAATGTTGATAAAAATCTGTTTAAGTGGATACAAGAACATAAAAGGGATCTTAGTCATGAATAAGAATTATATCCTTGTCTTCAATGTTGAAAAAAATCTGTTTAAGTAAGTGGATACAAGGACATAAAAGGGATCTTAGTCATGAATAAGAATTATATTCTTGTCTTCAATGTGGAAAATAATCTGTTTAAGTGGATACAAGAACATAAAAGGGATCTTAGTCATGAATAAGTATTATATTCTTGTCTTCAATGTTGAAAAAAATCTGTTTAAGTGGATACAAGAACATAAAAGGGATCTTAGTCATGAATAAGAATTATATTCTTGTCTTCAATGTTGAAAAAAATCTGTTTAAGTGGATACAAGAACATAAAAGGGATCTTAGTCATGAATAAGAATTATATTCTTGTCTTCAATGGTGAAAAAATCTGTTTAAGTGGATACAAGAACATAAAAGGGATCTTAGTCATGAATAAGTATTATATTCTTGTCTTCAATGGTGAAAAAAATCTGTTTAAGTGGATACAAGAACATATGCTCATCCAGTTGCATGTTAAAAACTTGTCACGCATAGTCATTTATGTCGCAAATAGATGAAGTCGAAAAAAGCGAAACTAAGACATGCTGATGTCGAGGGCGACAGCATTAACAATGTATTAGTTTGTGATTAGGTCAGTTTATGGGTATAACCGTAACAACTAGTGGTAGGTCAATGATTTTTGATATGCAGTTGTATAAGCATTTGCACATTTCATTCCCATCATCATGAAGGTTATTTGCCCCTGCCCCTGAGTCATGGTCAATTGACTTTGAAACTTTTGCTTAGTTTACATGTATTAGTTATACTTCCTGCAAACAAAATACCTCTGCAATATGGTGTGTCTGTCGGTCCGTCTGTCTGTCCTATCTGTCTGTCAGTCTGTCCGTCCAGCGCCATGTCCAGTGCAAAACTTTTGTACCATTAGACTTAGGTTAACCAAACTTGGTATGCAGTTGTATGATGGGCTGGGGTGTGTCATATACTAAAGTCAGGTCACTCTGACCTTGACACATTTGACCCCTATTGTAAAAAACCTTGTACAATTCATGTCTGGTGCATAACTTTTGTACCGTAAGACTTAGGTTAACCAAACTTGGTATGCAGTTGTATCGTGGGCTTGGGTTGTGACATACCAAAGTCAGGTAACTCCATACAGTATGGGATTAAATTTTTAAGCATCAGTAGCTTTATTAAATCTTCATGGGATGAATAAACTTGGATAGAATCTTCTTCATGATAAAGCATTTGAAGAAAAAATTTAAACAAACATTGTGAAGTAACGTTTTCTGTAATTTTGTGCTTAAAGTACTATGTAATAACCACCCCTACCTGGCAATTTAAATTATGGATTAAAAATCCAGGGATTATGCTTGCCCAAATTCGGTATTGAATAACAAAATTGTATTTTTTAAGGCCACCCATGGATGCATGGCCATAACAAATTCTTTATTTGATGTTGCCTTCCCATGCCTTGTAGTGTTAGGTAGGTAGGTAGGGTTTTTTTTGTTTTTTTATGGCCAACAACATAAAGCACATGTTTTAGAAAAGAAAACAACGTTAGAGCACAAAAAAAAACCTTCTTATATAAAAAAAATTTGAAAGGATTTGTGTCATAAAATTTTTCGGGTAGGTTGCTTTTTAGGTTGGTTGGTAGGCAACTTCAAACAGTTTTAATTTAATTTTTGGCCCAGTTGTTAAGTGGTTTAATATCATACAGCTTATTGAGCTTAATCAAATTAATCTATAGATAAATTAAACAAATACAAAAAAGAAGCTAATGAAAAAAAAAAAATGCTAATTCACATGTTGTAAGTGTTAGTATTGAATCCATATTTTAAAAATAATTGTCTTAACCTTATCCAAAATATCATCCTTTTTAAAATTGAATTGCATTTATATTTTATTTTCGTATTTTATGGTAACTTTTCAGCAGTTGTACTCAGAAAGGTTGAAAGAAATCTGACCAATTGAAGGGTAAAGAAATATATTATGGTAAATGTATTTCATCTGACCTCCCTGTTAGGTAACATGATATGTAATTGGCAGGTTATTACTACATAGTTTGTCATGTGTGCCTAATCTCTTTTCTAATGTCAAGAATACATTTTAAAAATTGTATGGCAGACTAATATTTTTATTTTGTTTCATAATCTGAGTTCCGTATCCCAAGGTCCATTAGGGGTATTGACCCATGTGTGCCCTATCTCTTTGCTGACGCCAATAATTAATCTTTATTCCTCCACACTTGTAGGAGGATCAAGATAAGCTGACTAAACAGAAAAAGGAGGAAATGCTAATTAGGAAAGAAATGGCCAGAATTAGGAAACAAATGCAGGAAGAAAGAAGAAATGTGGAGGATTTAAGAAAGAGGTATTTTATTTAATAACGTTAATACTCTTATCTTCAAGTGCATGTAAACAAAATGTTTTTATCCGATAGGAAGGAAGAAAGATTTTTATTTCAAGGTGAATGTCATGTCTGCAATGAAGAACACAAATTGTATCTTTTCCAGATTTTATCAGCTTTAGTCCTTTAAGGAAAAGGAAGGACTTCAATGGGTTTTATTTTCTATCTGTAAGATCATGCATTATCTGTGCCTTTGATCTTTCCCTTTTTTTTAAATGTAAGCAAACAGTTTGAAGACCATGTATTTTATACTTTATAAGTGATAATGTTAGAAAATTGGAGCTGAAATCACTCATCTACTTATTTCTCTGTAACATTGACTATTTATTTTATAACGATATATATTTAGCCTGAGTGTACTGATAACTGGACTATACAGAAGAACAGTTCTGGCAAAGATAAAAAAATAAAATAGAATAAAATGCAAAATATATAAATAGATAGAATTTTCATTCTAGAAATACACATGGATTAAACACCCAAGTTAAAAAAATTGCATACCCTTTAACTGTAAATATTACTATCATTAACAGCATAATATGTCTTTGCTGCAGCACAGTAGCTCTTAGGTCCTTATGATATTTTATGACAATTTTATATGGTCTGCAAATTGTCAAAAAAATATCATAAGGACCCAACAGCTATGGTTCCACATCTAAATATTTCTATGCCTTTTATATTTGTTACCACTGCAGAATATTGTACATTCAGAAATGTTTGCCTGCTTTTAATGCGATTGTTGAACAGTTGAGAAGAATGAATTTAAATGATTACAATTGCAGAAAATTCTTCATACTAATGCTAACAAAATTCAAAAATGGGATTATTTTTTTATTTTTGCAAAATGTATCCTGCCTCAATTTTTGCAATAATATTCATTGCAAAAATTTCTGAATATACAGTAATTGTGCAACACAATGCTTTTGAACAATGTTTTTGGTCACTGCATCAACATATTGTTTAGTGGGGCTTCAATGTCTTACAAATACAATACTGAGTTTAAAATAACATTTCATAAATTCCTAGGGAAGATAAGAAACAGGAAGAGCTGAGTTCTTATGCTGTTAAGTTGGTTGACCAAGAAGAAGAAGACAGAAGAAGAAAATATGTAGAACAGGAAAAGAAAACTGAAGTAAAGCAGAGAATTTTGCTTGAGAGATTGAATGAGCTGAAGAAAAGACAAGAAGCAAATGATCTTAGGGTATGGTACATGGATCAAAAGTTAAAAAAAACTTGTATAATATTGATTATTTGATCCCAGTAAAGTTATATTTTTTCTAAGTATTTTTTACCACCGAGGACATTGACATTTTTTTTTAAATCTTGATTACAAAGTCTGAATCATAATTCACCATGTGATTGCTAGAAGTCAAGGTTATGAGTACAAAATTTATAAAGGACATTAGTATTCATCTGGCAGCATATAGTTATGGTTGAATATATTTTAACCAAATGTCCAGTGTTCATACATAATATCACACAGAATATAATCAGGGGCAATTTAGGGGGGCCTGGGGTGCCCTGGCCCCCCCTTATGGAATTTATGGTTAATCCAGACTTTTTACCGGTTCCACTACTAATTTTGTCTAGTTTGGGGGCCCACGGACCACCCCTTTTTCAAAATCCTGGATCCACATCTGAAAACGTACTTTTTAGATGTCTATAATGAAAGGAACCGTAATGTTACAGATCTTGAATTATATCTTTATTTATTATCATTGTTTACTGACAGTTAAATTTATGAAAATGTAAGCTTTCCTTACAAAGTTGCATGGTAAGAGTGGGATAGAAGCCATTTAAAGCAATCTTCGTTATTTATTAGATTTTTATCTCCCTTGATTATCGATATGCAAATTAAATAAAAAATTAGAAAATAAAAATAATCACACAGTGCTAATGTGGCAAAAAAATAGCACAGGACCCAGCATGAAGCATCTTTTATTTTATAAATTTATTAAAATTTCATTAAAATTTGTACATTAGGCAGATTATAATAAATTTATATATTTTCATCCCTGTATTCCTATTCATGCTACATCATATTTGTAATAAATGTTTATTTTGATTGTAGACACTACAGAGGCATTTCTCTGCCTGGTACAACCTAGTTTTAGAGAAGAGACTACTAATGGGTAAGGCCAGAGCTATGGCTGATTGGAAGTTGTTATTCAGAGCATGGAATGCATGGAAATCCTTTGTCAGGTCCAAGAAAATTGACATAGAGACCAAACAGCATGAGGTGGATGTCATAAAAACACAGAGGTAGTTTGAAGGAAATAAAAAAAATGGATGTAAATTATACAACAGGTCTTTGAAATACCTGAAAATGATAATTTGATAAGCAATCTGATTCAAATATAGATCCTGTGTCAATGCTGTATTTACAAGTATCTGAAAACACGACATTCTACTTTCTGTTTTGGTAATTTTTACAACAGCCAATGAAATTCCAGCCTTAAATGTTTGAAGTTGTGTATCATTTTGACAAAACCATAGGATCCTGATGGGTCCTTAAAACAGAGAGCAGAAGTGAGTGTTGTCTGATCCTTGTAAGCTAAGGCCTAAAATAAAATATTGTTTGTTTCCCCAATCCCGACCGACATTGCAAAAATGGTGCTACTCGTAAAATTTTGTCAAAACTAAGTCGAATATTATTTTAATCATTTTGGATTTTCAGGCTTGCCAGATCGTCCGATAATGTTCAAGCTTTTTGGAAAAAAAATATTATTTCCCTACCTACCTACCCACACCTGGCTTGGCAGGGTCTGGATTGGGGAAACAAACAATATATTAATTTAGGCCTAAGCGTGGACACAGAATCTGTATTATAATCAGATTACTAATTTAGGAACTTTTTTATTGACATTCTTATTGTTTTTCTATTTGTTATATCTCAGATGAAATGACTGTTTTTTAGTTATTTTTTAGCTCACCGGGGCCCGAAGGGCCCCATGTGAGCTTATGCCATCACTTGGCGTCCTCCTTCGTCTGTCGTCGTCGTCATCTGTCGTCGTAAACTATTTAAAAAATCTTCTTCTCTGAAACTACTGGGCCAAATACCTTCAAACTTCAACTAAATGTTCCTTAGGGTATCTAGTTTATAAATTTTATCCGAAGTTTTGATCCATCGACAAACATGGCCGCCATGGCTAAAAATAGAACATAGGGGTCAAATGCAGTTTTTGGCTTATATCTCAAAAACTAAAGCTTTTAGAGCAAATCTGACATGTGGTACAATTGTTCAATTGGTCAAGATCTATCAGCTCTGAAATTTTCAGATGAATCGAACAACCCATTGTTGGGTTGCTGCCATCGAATTGGTAGTTTTAACAAAATTTTGCAGTTTTTCGTTATTGATTTGAATATTGTTATAGATATATATAAACTGTAAGCAGCAATAATGTTCAGCAAAGTAAGATCTACAAAAAAGTTAATATGACCATAATTGTCAATTGACCCCTTAAGGAGTTATTGCCCTTTAAAGACAATTTTACACAATTTGTTCATCAAGTTTGCTAACATTTGAAAATCTTCTCCTCTGAAACTACTGGGCCAATTACCTTCAAACTTTAACTAAATGTTCCTTAGGGTATCTTGTTTATAAATTGTATCTGAAGTTTGTATCCATCGACAAACATGGCCGCCATGGCTAAAAATAGAACATAAGGGTCAAATGCAGTTTTTGGCTTATATCTCAAAAACTAAATCTTTTAGAGCAAATGTGACATGGGGTAAAATTGTTTAATTGGTCAAGATCTATCGGTCCTGAAATTATCAGACGAATAGAACAACCCATTGTTGGGTTGCTGCCATCGAATTGGTAGTTTTAACAAAATTTTGCATTTTTTTGTTATTATTTTAAACATTATTATAGATATATATAAACTGTAAGCAGCAATAATGTTCAGCAAAGTAAGATCTACAAAAAAGTTAATTAGACCAAAATTGTCAATTGACCCCTTAAGGAGTTATTGCCCTTTAAAGACAATTTTACACAATTTGTTCATCAAGTTTGCTAACATTTAAAAATCTTCTCCTCTGAAATACAGGTGAGCGAGCCTCTTGTTTATTAACTCATCTGGTCATAAGGACCAAAGTGAGCTGTTGTAATAAGTTGGTGTCTGACATTAATTATAAACTGTTTTCAAATATCTTCAACCTCTGAAATCTTTGTTGGCAATTTGAACAATTCTTTGGCTTATACATAGTATTGGAATTTATAGAATTATATCTAAAGATGTATCTGACTAAAACAAACGACATGATAACTGCTATTATAATAATAATACTGTGGATTCATTTATTTTCATTGGTATCAATTTTCGTGGATATTTAATTTCGTTATTTTGCTAAAGTCTGCATTCAACACAGTAGAAAACTTGTAATTCATTGAACATTTGAATTCGTGTTTCACCTGAACCCACGAAATCAACGAAAATAAGTATCCCACAAATAATACTGAATCCACAGTATGGGGTTTAAACACCAAATCTGAGCAATTGCTCTTCCATCATACAATCTAGATAAAATGTAGGGAAACTAATCAATTGATGGTCCTATTTCATTTATATGTTGGGTAACCCTTGCTGTTTGATAAGTTTGGCTGCTCTTACTATAAATAGAATTGTTCAGCAAAATATAAAAATTCAGATTACTGGTTAATAATTTGTTTTATTTTTGTTCAACAAGCCGGTGTATACTCCCACACTTCTTTTATTTCATAATTACCACTTAGAGCTAACACCAATGTCAAACTTTCAGGAAAATACAGCTAGCAGACAGTCACAGTAAACAAACTTTACTTAGAAAATATTTTGCTGCTTGGCAGCTGTGGGTCAAACAGGAAGTTGAACGAAAAGAATTAGAACATGCTCAAAGTAATACCAAAAGTAAGATGGCTGCTTTATTAGAAGCTGCAGCAAATGGTAAATTATGGACCGGAAATGACACAGATAGAACCAGTTCTACAGTAGAAACCACAAAGTCAAGTAGAATCCAGTCAGCAAGGACTGGCAGGAAACCAGTTACTCCATCAACATCAGAAATTGTAAGCTACAAAATTTGCATAAAACATTTTAATTTTCAAGCTCTGCCTTTGTCAAACAGTGAGGCATAGAGATTACCATTTATGTCTGTTTTTCCCATTTTATTAAGTTAAATGTTAAATTCATTTCCTAGACATCTGTGGTAATATGTTAGTGATATTTTATAGAGGCAGTTATTTTTGTCTCGCCTGTGACAAATGTCCAATGTGGGACAAAGGGATGGTAATTTGGCAGCGACTGCGTAAACTTTCTGTTTAAAACTAAATATTTTATTAGGAAAAAAAACCTGGATACCTCATATCATGTAAACAAATGCCTTTTGTTCTGAAGTTCCCATCTTACATATATCTGTTGTCTTTGACCTCATTTTCATGGTTCGGTGACTCCTTAAAAAAACTTTATAGTTATTTTATCACAAGATTTTCTCACTTATTATGAAAGCAATACTATAAATAAGTGTATGCTTTGTATGTATTAGATAAACCTTATTTAATTAAACCATCTTTTTCACTAAAAATAAACATTCGTTATAGGAAGATAAAACTAAATATTTCTTTCAGGACTCCTTTTTTGATCAACCTGCAAAACGTCCACAGTCCTCAAAAAGTGACACTTCAGTGAACATATCAGAAGCAGCCAAACAGAAACGAGATAATAGAATTCCTACTCAACCATGGCAGATAACAAGGAAACATTTGAATCTAACCAATGAGGAGATGGCTAACATGGGAGATTCAGAAGATCACATTGAACAGTCAGATCTTAAAGTCAGAAAGAGGTTTGGAACACAGCCATGGATGAACACTAAATATATTACAAATAATTTTGAAAACAGACACCAGGCTCAACAAAAAATTTTGCAAGAGCAGCAAAAACAATTGAAAGAACAACAGAGAATAATAGAGGAATTGCAGTTTGGTCAGAATCAAAGTAAACTGCACGACCAACTTGAAAAACAGCAAGCAATACTTGAACATTTAGCTAAAAATATTACACCAAGAACAGGGGATTCTGTTCCTAAAGGACAGACTTCTACATCTGAGGTTCCTCGGCAACAGTCTAATGCAAATTCACAGTCAACTAACAAACAATCAAATATAAGTAAACAGAACAATAGTGCTATTGTTAATAGTTTAAAGAATGAACAGACAAATAAGAAGCAAAATACTAAAACATCAAATGTTGCTATGGATACATCAAGAACAACTAGTACAGCTGTAACTGCAAGGACAGATAGTACGACCAAATCCAATACTAAGTACCTGCAAACTTTAAAAAGTAAGTCAAAAACTATCTGGAAATTTGATTAACATCCAATACAAAATGTACAGGTATTTTGTCAATGCAAGACATACTGTGAAAGAAATAAATATTTTATAATTGTTGTGAATGTTAAATTATGCGTTGATATTGATGTGTCGACGTAACTTCGTTCCTGGCAAATTTTAAAATTGCAGATTAAGCGTTACAAAATTATGCCAACTTGTGGCATACAAATAACATCTTTTGTTTTCATACTTGTTTTTATTTTAATCCTATGTTTCATTAGTTACTGCTATTTACCTGTTTTATATTACTAAATCAGTGTCAAGACGGATGAAATCCTGCAACTTCCAAATTATGCAATATTTATGTACATATTGACAGTGATACACATGAGAAACCTTGAATATTAGGGACCTTTTTTCTTGCACAAATCTTAAGTGTGCTTGGGCATATTAAAAGGGGATTTCGAACAGTCAAAACAGAATTCGAATTGATTATCAGAGAGTATAGGTAAATACTTTCAACATAGCATATTTATTTGGAGCTGTAATTATTGAATGGATTTCTGAATAATATAATTATTATTATTTAAGCTATTAAGTTAGTTATTAGTCCCCTACCGACGAAGTCGAAGGGGACTTTAGGTTTGCACAATTTGAACAATATCAATATTTATCCTACATCCACAATTCTTCAGATGGGAAACATTGGTATTAAAACTAAAAAATCAGAGCTTTAAGTGTATCTTTCTCTGTCTGAAAATAAACTCCATTCTTGTCTAACCTTTAACCAGTTTTGCAAAGTGATAAAGTATATGGATGTATTCCAAAAGGAGGTATAAAGTCACTTTGAAGCTTTGTGATTAGTGCTAGAATTAAATGTTTGAATAGAATAATGATATAGTTCAAGTGAAATATGCATCAACCATTTATGATATTTTATAGATATGGATGAACGTGCTGCTGAAAGAACCAGGTTAAAAGCTGAGAGGGACGAAAAAAGAAGACAGGCAGAAGAGGAAAAATTAGTAAGGATGTTGTAAATAAAATCATTTGTAATAATCTTACCTCTCAATATGGTCAATGTGATTCCGTAAAAAAATTACTGCTGGTATTGCTGGGCATTGGGGATAGTTATGATGATTTACAACTCTGCCATAAAAAAAAAATTAATATAAAGAGACATTTCAGAATAAATCAAGCAAAATCATCGGCATTAACTTTGAAAATCACCTTTTAAAATGATTTTTGACTTAACATGCAGATTTTGATAAATGATAAGGCAAATCACACTTATTTTCATACCAAGGGTTCTCCATGCTGTAAAAAGTATTTGAATACTAACAAAACTATTTTAATCTCTGAAAACACCCACAGTTCTCAAGTCTCTATATAAGCATTTCTGCTCCTCCTCAATACACATGACACACAAACACAACTATTTCCTACTGAAAATTGAAACCCAGTTTTTGGAAGACTATTAGATGTGTACTTGCTATTATTACATTTGTACAAGATGAAAATCTGTAGATTCTGAGAGGAGAAAAAAAAATAGGATGTTGAACAACAGTAAATAACTTAGAAATACACAGAACATTAAGAAGTATAAATGGATTAAGAAAATAAAAAAAATTTCCATAATTTTTAACGTCATGACGTCACAATGACGTCATAATATAACAATGTTTCACAAAAGATGAGAAGAGATGATTTTGACAGATTTTCCTTGCATATTTGCTTTAAGAAAACATAGAGCATGAAAAAAAAACTAATTATTTTAAAAGATAAATCATTATCATTGATATCATATTTTTACTATATACTGTATAACCAGAAATTTTTGCAGAACAAAATTTTGCTATTTGAAAGTAGAAATGTCTATTTTTATGCCCCCGCCAAAGAAGAGGCATTAAGTTTTACCCTTGTCCGTCTGTCCGTACGTACGTACATACGTACGTCCCAAATTGGTTTCGTTCTCTAACTTAGGTTTGCCTCAACCAAATGTTATCAAACTTATACACAATGCTTATTACCACAAAACACAGATCAAGTTTGAATTTTGGTGATGTCACTTTAACTGTTCTAGAGTTATGCCCCTTTATAAATGGAAAAATTGCAAAATTTTTCATTTCCGTTCTCTAACTTAAGTTTGCCTCAAACTTATACACAATGCTTATTACCACAATACACAGATCAAGTTTGATTTTTGGTGGCGTCACTTTTACTGTTCTAGAGTTATGCCCCTTTATAAATGGAAAAATAGCTAAATTTTTCATTTTTTTTCTAAAAATATCAATGATGTCATAGTTCAAGTAATTTTTAAAATGGGAGTTATCTTCCTTTGTCCATGATTATAGTTGAATCAACAACAATCAATGTTTTATACAATGCAATGTATAATTTTGCCTTCCACTGATAAAACACAGATCAAGTTGAATTTGGGTAGTGTCACTTTAACCATTATTGAGTTATGCCCCTTTGTAAATCGAAAAATTGAAAAAATTTTAGTTTCCGTTCTGTAACTTAAGTTTGCCCCAACCAAACATGAAACCTATACACAATACTTATTACCACAAAACTAAGATCAAGTACAAATTTGGGTAGCGTCACTTTTATTGTCCCTTTATAATGTTGTATGCAAGCGAGGGCATCATCTGTGTCCATTGGGACACATTCTCCATTTATTTTTTTCCTTAATTTTTTAATTTTGTGATCGACAACATATATTTAAAGAATACATGAAGGCATTTGAACTGCCACCTAACTGCATGATAAAGTTATCCATATACAATTGCTATAACTATAACTGTTTAACCAGAATACGATGCTAAATGAATAAAAATGAGGTCTTATTTATACAATAAAAGACTAAATTTATTTATGTTCTTTAATCGGTAAATAAATAATAAGAATTAAGGTGTGAAACAAACACTACAGTTATTGGATGTGTAATTAAATAATGATAATAGCATGTCCAACTGATTAACATATCAAATAATTCAGAAGTCCTCACAAATTTCTTTAAAAAAGGGGAAAATAAACCATAGAGTCAACCAAAGCCTACATTTAAACATTCGTCATTCAAAATTTTTGACCATATTTTCTTACTTTAAGTTAATTTTATCCTGGCCATTTGGTAGATAAATTTAAACCAATATAAAAGTAAGGACTGTCTTTTTTATATATTTATTTGTGGATTTTAACCTTTGGACTCGAAATAATTCAAAAAATTATTGTCACATAAATTTGTAGCTTCAATAGAAAAAGTTGCTTTTGTTACTTCAGAGCAAAATTTTAAATGAACTCTCTTAACAGAAACAATTAGAGGCAGAAGAAGAGTTAAGGAGAAAGGAGTTAGAGGAAGACAAACGTGCCAGAGCTGAGGCTTATAGAGAAAAGAAAAAATTAGACAAACAGGTTAGAAGAAATAAGGTTTTCTATTGTTGCAGTTATCTATTTGTTCATTATTTAACATAGATCTCAACTGAGAACCTATTATCATTTATTATTTTACTCATTTTATACATTTCAGTAAAAATATTATGGCTATATATTATGGGACACGTCACAAAGTCTCTTTTATAAACCAAACTTCACCTTCTCAGCATGTTAAATGGTACAAAAAGTTACCCTGGATGTCATTCTTGCACTGACGTATAGATTTAATGAAATCACAATATTTCTAAAATTGAATATTTTTTTAACAGAAAAAACATCAACATGGGTCAATGGCTTAGCTAGGTCTTTTGTCCCTTTGATTGACGATGTGGTAGCCAAGTAATGCATTAACTGAAATGAATGCCAGTGATTGGCATAATAGGATAAAATCCTTAGTGGATTACATATTTAAGTACAAACATCATGGATAATCTACAGAATTCAATTTTTCACTGGGAACAACCACAGAACAAAGGAAAGTGCACATGAAGTTCCCTGTGGTAATAGGTACTAACACCTAGGTATATGGGTTAGCAACACCCAGGGCTATGTTTTTTTTTTAACAATTTGTCATAAGTCAATCGAAATCTGAGAAATATACTAAGCCAGGGATAAAAAAAAATTTACACTATAGCTTTGATAAGGAACTTTACATATAAACATACTTTTATTATAATTTGTAGAAAGAAATGGAAAAACAACAACGAGACGAAAAAGTCAGACAATTAAATGTTAAAGCAGATGAACATTATATCCGGTCTATAATGAAATATCGTGGACTTGTACCATTTAAAAAATTAGCTGACATGGCAAAGAAAAATGAATTTACAGCTATAGCTCACCATAAGTCACTTATTAAAAGGTTTGTAGATTATTTTTCAAGTATCTAGATATATAGAGAATATCATATGGCTTTTTCAATATCACATCCGTATCAACCCGAGACACCAATATAATCCCATGAGCTCTGCTCGAGGGATTATATTGGTTGAGGGTTGATACGGTGTGTGATATTGAAAAAGCCATATCATATACACTTTATTATATACATATATCTCACATAGATGTGTTTTATGTGACATGACGTCATACAGATAAGGGGGATTGAAATGACGTCATACAGATTAGAGGTTTGACATGAAGTCATACAGATTAGGGGTTTGATAAAGCCTTTGCAAAAGTGACTGCATCGATGACGTGACGTCCTACAGATTAAAGGTGTGATAAAGTCTTTGCAACCATATTGATATCATCACGGGTGACTGATACAGCACGCTTGCCAATGATTGTATTACATATATAATAAATTCAATTATTCATGTCTTTTGTCAAATTAACATAAGATATTAAACTTTATCGCACCTCAGGTCAATTATGACGTTATGATTGGTTTAACGCCGTCACGTGGTGACCCCTAATGGATCTGTAGGAGGTCAGTAGATTTCATATGGGTTTCATGACATCATGTTTACTATTGATGGTGACGTCGTCGATTAATGTTTTTTTATTTCATTGCTTCTTTTTATACAAAACTTAGAAGGAAAAGTCCCTTGTGGGATAAATTCGTTATATGTTCACTATTGAGCCCTTACAGATCCATAGAGGGTAAGTAAAATCCATAGGAGATTCAGCCTTTGGCCCTACCCCCTATGGCTTTCACTAACCCTCTATGAATTCGTATGGGGTCAGTATCAAAGCATATAACTTATAGTAACAGGCGAACATCTCAATTGTAATGATAGGATTCTCCAGAGTTACATTCCTTTGTATATGATTTTTTTTTTATTTGTCTTCACAACTCATCATACATGGTCTCTAAGATGTTTTAAATAATATTGGTGTGATATCGATTAACATGTTCACTTTTTCCTTTATCTCTATATGTGACCTCTGTGACCTAAAATGTAAACAGTGTGGACACCTCATTAAATTTTTTTTTTTAATTTGTATAAATTTGACAATTGCAAGATTCTGATGAGAAGATGTGCATGTGTTCCCCCTTTAAAAAATGCCGTACAATCTACTTGACTATAATTTAGCTTAACAGACACTGATAAGGTTTAGGAATATTTATTGCATGTTCATGAAACAAAGTTTTATAATTGGAGATTACTGTATTTAGCCGTGTATAGTAAGCAGTTGTGTATTATACACACACCCTTTTCATCCCTCCAAAATCGTGAAAAAAAAAGTAAAAAATATAAAATTAGAAAGGTAAAAAAGAAAATCAAAATATAAAAAAATTTAAAGTCTAGTTCACTGTACAAAGCCTTAAATAGGGAACAATTAAACCATGTATTTAATTTCATTTAAGTCTATTGAAAGATAAAAATAATAAGATTGATTGATTGTTCAATCAACTGAATTTAAAATCACAAACAATTAAATGGTAGAACTTTTATCATGTAATTAACATTTATAACTTTTATAAAAGTAAAGTTATTAATTAAAAGATCCCTTTTGAAATCAATGTTTGTCTAAGCTTGTCCAGGCTGATGTACTGTTCAAATATTATAAAAGATATGATATGATTAGAATGTTATGGAACAAAAGAAATTAGACCCCAAACATTTTCAAAGTTGATTAGCAGTAATTAAAATTTAATGACTCTTAAATTCAATATTTCCTTTTCATTGATCATGTTGATTTAGAGCACTGCCTGAGGTTATTATATTGAACACCTGTCAAAAGTTGTCCATTGCTACACACCCATACTTAATCCTTAATTACATTTTAAGCTCACTCAGCAGGATGTCACACCAGTACTTGTGTATTCAATAAGAAGGAAAACTAAAATAAAAAAACGTCTTGAATATATGGTGTCATCCTGGTTTGCCCACTTTTAATTACATGCATATGTATACAAAGGGGGAATTGTTGTTTTAACAACTATAGTTTATTTCTGAATTATAGTCATATTTTTATATGCAGTTTACGGGACATATTATGGTATACCTCTGTCCATCCGTCCGTCCGTCCGTCCGTCTGTCCGTCCATCGTCAACATGTCAGACATTAACTCAAAAATGTTTTAACCAATTTGCATAAAACTTTGGTGAATTGTTTATATCTATTGACGTGAGCTCCCTTTCGTTTTTTATAAAATTTAGATTTTACGTTTCAGAGGTATGGGGTTTTATTCATTAAAAAAAGGGGGATTTTCCTGTTTTCGGACAATAAGTCAAAAATGCTTTCACCAACTTGCAAGAAATTGTGGTGAATTGTTTATATCTATTGACATGAGCTCCCTTTCGATTTTTATAAATTTTAGATTTTACGTTTCCGAGTTACAGGGTTTTATTCATAAAACAGGGGGGGATTTTCCAGTTTTCGGACAAAAACTCAAAAATGCTTTCAGCAATTCTTATGAAACTTTGGTGAATTGTTTGTATGTATTGATGTAAGCTCCCATTAGAATTTTATAAATTTTACATTTTAAGTTTCTGAGTTATTGTGTTTTATTCATTAAAAAAAGGGGTGATTTTCCAGTTTTTCGGACAATAACTCAAAAATGCTGTCACCAATTCTCATGAAACTTTGGTGAATTGTTTATATCTATTGATGTAAGCTCCCTTTTTATTTTCATAAATTTCTAATATGACATTGAGAATTAATTGAACTTTATTTGTTTATAGTCTGACAACAAATTTACTAAGAATTGCACAACAGCAAGGAATCTTTAATTGAATATAAATTCAATTCATATAACCAATTTCAAGTTCTTTGACTACATTTATTCAGAAACCTATAATACGTCAAATATTTAATTACAATCCAAATTCAGACCTGAATCAAGCTTGAATATTGTGTCAATTTTGGCCCAACTGTTCAGGGTTGGACCTCTGCTGGCGTATCTAGCTGCGCTCAGCGAAGCAGTTTATTTACCTTTTATTTTACCTGTAAAATTTTATAAACGATATTATATTCTGCTATTAAATCAAGGAAAATGTGCAAAAATATTCTATTTGATATAGTTTTTAGCAGGAAAATGTATTTAATTCGACAAATAGAAAAAAAAAAAAAAATAGGAAAAAATGTGTACAAAAATGTTTATTATTTTTACAATTTATCAACAAATAGTTTTAATTATTGGTACATTTAAAAAAAAAAGTAAAAAGTAAAATAATGAAACTAAAGATTAGAAAAAATGTCATTTGAATTTCTTTTTATTTATTCAACTTATTTTTTTCAAATTTTTAATAAATACACTGTTCTGAAATTTAACATAAAAAAATATCCAATTGATTCTAACAAATAGAATATAAATGCAACTGTTCGGTAGCCAAGCTTTAAATATGACACAATTTGAACAGTAATCTGCATCCATGCTAGCTTTTTTTCTTAAAAAACAACAATAAAATATCTTTCAATTAATAATCATGATTGCTAAGTTTTTAGTCGATTTTTACAATTTTTACAATTTACCCAAGCTGTTAATAATTTCTGACACTTTTGTGAGCGGTTGTCACAAATTATTGTATTATAGATATGAAATTGTCTTACATTCGAATCAGTGCGTATACACGATTCCCACGGGACCACTGGCTGGGGCAACTGATCAAATATAATCTACTTTCGTATTTGAGAAATACGACAGTGCAACTGATTATCATAATAAAAATAAACACAAACAAGTGACACAATACGTTATTTTTAACGCATAACACTTACAACCACAGAGAAAAAAAAGAAAGAAAAGCATAACAAACATACAGTATTTTTCTTTTAATTAAAATTAGATATAAAAGTATAGGTCAAAAACCAAAGTCTCAATCCCTAATAGAAGTTAATTTTCAAAATAACACTAATTTTTTTTCTTAATTTGTTTTCTATTTAAATTTATTAAAAAAAAGTTTAAACTAGTATAGGTCAAAAAGGCGCACTACCTCAAAGCAAAGATAGTCGCCTTCAAAGGAATATATAATATATATTTATTTTTTTTAATTTTTATTTTAATGGACTTTTTTTCTAAAGAAAAATATTACTAATAATAATAATGGACTAATTCCAAAAGTTAGTTACCAGGGCGCAATTACCAGCTGGTAAGCCGTCCACCAAAAGCATATAACCGTAATTCGAATCATTCAAACCAAGTATGGCAAACGCACAAGTTCATCAACTTCAGTATGTACAGAATAAGTTTGGTAGAGAAAGTTTGGTCCTAGGAGGCCATCGTTACAGAGTGAAAAACAAAAGAAACAACAGAGTTTGCCCGAGATGTTCTATTCCAGCCTGCCCTTCAACAGTTTACACTCATTTAGTCAAATTAGGTCCACCACACAACCATCAAGCCAACCAATCTTAAGATATAGGTGATCAAAATAATGCAGACTATGAAGCAACTACTACTACCAGGAAAAGACCAGGTCATCCATTCACGCTTCTTCAGCCACATACGATACATCCATCAACAACACCAGTTACAACTTCAACCAGAAACAGTATTTATTGATAACAACGCAGCACGGACAGTGTTCCCAGGGGTAACAGTGAAAGGCTGCTTCTTCCACTTCACCCAGTGTATTTGGCGAAAGGCACAGAGATGTGGACTACAGTCATATTATAAAGAAAATGAAGACGAGCCGCAGTATTACCTCTTGTTCCACCCCACCTTGTTGAGGATGTTAGGCTAACAAATTTAGAAGACATTGGTGAAGCTGACAACATACCCGCTACAACATCATTTACTGATTACGTGACAGAGTTCTGGGTTGAAGGATACCGCTTTCTATGGAACCACTACTACACAGAAGGACCATGCACCACCAATCACCAATTAACAAACTTAAGAAGAGACTCCAACATGCCCACCCCAACATCTACGAGATCATTGAGTTACTGAAGAAGACCCAGGCACTAACAGAATGTAATATTATCCAGTATGCAGCAGGAGGAGCCCGCCCACCAAAAAGACGAAGATACAGAGTAATAGACACCAGACTCCAACTACCGAAAGACAGATACCAACAAGGACTCATTAACGTTGTAGACTCTGACGCAGCATCCTACTTCTCCATTTGAACTGAACAACTAAGTGAAATATTGTAATTTATGACTTTGTAAATATAATGTTTTGTGACTTTTGATGTATATATAAAAGATTGTATTTCCCATCATTATACATATAGAGCCCCATATTACTTATTTTACCATAGTGCTTTATTTATTTCCTTATGCAATGTATATATAAACTTGATTCATATATTATATATATTATGTTTGCAATAAAAGAGAACTTGCATTGGTGTATTTATATCATGAAAATCATTCAGAAACTAATGAATTATAAAAACACTTTTATAACTGAATCTTATTGTTTTGTCATTAGTTGTACATGTTTGTTAAATGAATCGATTGAATTGATATTAAATTATTGAGAAAAAAATATTTGATTTATTTATTATTTTTCTATACAAATGAAAATGCAATTATAAAATAAAAAAAAAACCTGAATATATAGAAAACACTAATAAACTATATACCTAAGTTGGAACAGACTATACAATTGTATGCTCATTAAACCTCTTGTCTTTTTTGTTTTCTTTACTAATAGATAATTGATATAATTAAAAGTGGGCAAACCAGGAGTAAACCGAGTATATACAATAATGAAGAAAAAAAACGCTATTAATAATATAAAAAAAAACAAAAAAAAAAAAAATAAATAAAAAAACGTCTATAGTTGTGTATAATATGCACCCCTCTACCAACTACTTTTTAGGGGTAAAAAAAAATGTGTACTATACACACCTAAAGACGGTATCAAATATTAAAGTAATAAAACCATTTTATTTTGCTTAAGTCTTCTATCAAGGTGATGAAAAATTTGAAATATCAAGAAATTAATTGTCTTAAAAATACCCTGATTATGAGCAAATTATGGATTAAGATGTATAACAGACCACTTTAATTAAGGTAGTTGCCAGAAATTATGATCAAATAAGATGTATTTAGTATCAAACATTGCAGTCAAAAAAGATGTGACTTCAGTAGCTCTGTTTTCTGTTTTTTGATACAAGTATAGGTCCTATTTGTCTTTGAAATATTCCTTCAATAATTTTTACTTTTGTACAGAATAATATTTCTTTTTATCTGCAACTTTTAATTGAAGTGTTATATACATTGTACTGTTTTTTTTTACATCCTAAATTACTGTTATAATTTTTTGGAGATATGATGCAGCTATTAATTTGTAAATTAAAAATTTTGTCTTTAAAACAGTCTTTTAGGAATATTTTAGAAAAGGCTTGTTTAAGACTGAATCCTTTGACTGTGTACTTTGTGTATACAATGTTAGTTCTCCGTTATTAGATGAACATTGAATTTTATCAAATTTAAGGTATCTTTTCTGAGGAAAACAATGAATTTGCATAAAATTTAAGTTCTCCGTTGTTAGATGAACATTGAATTTTATCAAATTTAAGGTGTCTTTTCTTAGGAAAACAATGAATTTGCATAAAATTTAAGATCATGTTCGTTAGGTGAACCATAAATTCTTTATTAGCTTCCTCCCCCACCACCCTTATCAGTAAAGCTGAAGGGGACTGTTAGAAGTAACAGATTTAAGATTGGTATGATCAAGTTGAGCTTTTTTTCCCAAAGTTGTCCCCAATGACATAGAAAATTGCTTGAAAATATTAGTTTTCATGAATTTTCTGAAATGCCTGATTCAGTTGAATATATACATGGTATATAGTTATATTTTAAGATTTGTCAGTCTGTTATACTGAAGTTTGAATATGTGTTAAAGTTGCATTCATCAGGACATAGATAATTGTTTGAAAATATTAGTTTTTTTATGCACTGTCACTATACGTCTGTTTCAGTTGATTAGATATTTGAGATATAATCATATCATACGACTGTAAAACAGTGATTTTAAAAAGAATTTGAACACAAAATTAAATCATGATCAGTAAAGCAGACAAGACATCTCTTGTTTATGATTAAACTCATTATAAATCATTTTACATAATGTCTGTTTTTTCTCATAGTTCTCTTTATTTGGTAGAATGTTTGATTATATAGTGCAGTTTATCATTTTATCACACTACTGCATTCTACAAATTTTTCTGTAGTTGTAGGACCTTTAACCTTTTTAATTTGTTTAATTTTATTATGGTTTTTGAATGAAACTCCTCTTAGGTGTATGGCCAATATCTCTCTCTCTCTTATATTTCATATAGTGTAGTATCATGTCATTTTTCTAGGAATCTTTGTAAAACTTTTATATTTTAATGAACAGATATTTAGTTTTAGGGTAATCATGGGACATTTACCTGCCACATTTGAATATTGTATTCCATTTGTTAAACTATCATAGAATAAGAACCCAATGATATTGTAAAACACCAAACTAATTCCCCCAAAATTATATGCCTCTTTCCTACTACTTGGCAAAAAAAAATTGTAGGTTAAATAATATTATTATACTTTATGCAAATTTCTTATATCATTCATTTACTTCATTGGACACAAGGCATTTGTTAATTTTCACTTTTAGGTGAAATACCACCAAATCATAGTACGTCACATCTGGTTGCATACGAAAAAGGGTCGAAAAAAAATATTCCCTTGAATTTGACAGTTGTAGGAAATTAATCCTACATTTCATTGCAGTAAAAAAATTCTGAGTCATAAACATATATCTTGGGTGTTTCAAAGCACCAATCTTTTTTGTTTGGTGTTTCTATAGGAAATTTTGGAAACTTGAGGTTACATGGTTACTAAAGCTTGTACACAGGAAAAAAAGAGTGAAAATTTGATTGGTTAACTTCCAGTGATGGTTATTTTTTAATATGCAATGAAATGTTATGTGAAATTTTGTCTGTAGTACTGGACAGGATAAAACTTGACTCATGCCAATTATTTCTTTATTTGAAACAAAGATAAATTCTGCACAATTTTTTGAAAAGTGCAAATTCAACTATCGGCTATATGCCCATTTTTGTGGCAAAATATGCAAGACTTAATGTAGAGCTTATTCTCAAAAACTGTATTTTCGGGTTTTCCGAACGTTGACTAATAGTGGAAAAACAGTGGCGGTATTACACCACTAACCTTTCATAAGACCCGCCAACCAATAGCAACATGTGATAATATTAGCAATGGGTGTTAATGCCTTAAATTAACACCCGCTGAGCCCGAAGTTTGCTGATCCGGAACAATTAACACCCGCTCTGTCCGAGGTTTACCGATTCTGAACAATTAACACCCGCTCTGTCCGAGGTTTACCGATTCTTATTTCTACATCATTTCCATCATTTTGTTTTTGTTATTAGTAAACTATCTTGATTTATGACTTTATAGTGCACACTTGAATCATAAGGCATTCAGTATAATAAAAAACATGCTGCCCTTGGATGAAAGTGTTAGAGTGATTAACACACTCGGTGTGTTAATCACCCTAACCCTTCGTCGTGGGTGATTATTTTTTCCCTCGTGTGTTGAAATACCCTAACACTTTCACATCCAAGGGCCGTGTGTTTATATCATTTCGAAAAATATTTTTCATAAAAATTATGGGGAAATGTTCTGGACTTAACCAAAAATGTCTGAACTTAACAGTGCTTTACCAAAAATGTCCATATAATTTTTAAGGGTAGGCAGATAAAGGCAAGAAACACAACTATATTTATTTGTTTTGCCTAATCTGACCTACTTGTATTAAACTTATCTTCAATTACTTAAATGAGTTTAATGATTTTAAAGAATACTGATTCTGGATTTCATTTAATATGTTTTAAAACAGTATATTATTATACATTTACAGACATGTATTTAGTGCTTGGTATGATTATGTACAGTATATCAAGGCACAGAAAGAAAAACTGGCAGACAACATGTATAAATACTTAATTGTCAAACGCTCATTTAACAACTGGAGAAATGTGAGTTTTTTATAAAAAGATTTTTTTCCCCTTTTTCTGCAGTTACATTTTGTACTACAAAACACAGATCTGGTTCGAATTTGGGTGGCATCACTTTAACAGTTATAGAGTTATGCCCCTTTATAATGATATATGCAAACGAGGGCTTCATCTGTGTCCCATGGTCACATTCTCCATTTATTTATCAATAAATTAAAACCCAGCTGTATATTATTGTTATACACATATGTGTATTCATGTCTACAATCTGCCGATACCTATATTTTGGCATTGCACAAGGTCATGTTTTTCTCTGACATCTTTTCACAAAATCCATCAGATGTTGGATGTGTACTGATTGATATTTTAGTCATGTTTTTTATATTAGTTGTTATTGGCTTTAAACTAGCTTTCAGTTACAGGGTGTACTCTCAGATCTGTACTTTGTTAGTTTTTTGGTGCTTTGTATCAAGCTGATGAGTTAAGCCCTATTCAACTGATTTTTATAGTTTGTTCTTCATGCTGTACTGTAACATCAGTGTACCAGGTTAGGAGGAGGATTTGGCACCTGCAAATATGTTTAAACCTGCCACATTCTGTATTTGCCTTTACCAAGTCAGGAGCCTGTAATTCAGTGGTTGTTGTTTGTTGCAGTATATTATATTTGTTTTTGGTTTATTGTTTTGTACATAAATCAGGCCGTTAGGTTTTTTTTGTCTCGCCTTGACGGAGTCAAAAAGCGAGACATAGGTATGCTGTTTCTGGCGTTGGCGTCGTCAACAATGTATTAGTTTGTGATTAGGTCAAATTTAAGGTGAACCACTAGTGGTTGGTCAATGATATTTGGTATGCAGTTGTATTAGCACAGGCACATCTCATTTCTATGGAGATTATTGGGCCCTGCCCCCTCAGTCATGGTCTATTGACTTTGAAACTTTTGCTTAGTTTACATGTATTAGTTTGTGATTAGGTCAGTTTATGGGAAACCACTAGTGGTAAGTCAATGATATTTGGTATGCAGTTGTATAAGCATTGGCATATCTCATTTCCATGGAGATTATTTGGCTCCGCCCCCTCAGTCATGGTTTATTGACTTTAAAACTTTTGCTTAGTTTACATGTATTAGTTTGTGATTAGGTCAGTTCAAGGGGAACCACTAGTGGTAAGTCAATGATATTTGGTATGCAATTGTATAAGCATTGGCATATCTCATTTCCATAGAGAATATTTGGTCATGGTCTATTGACTTTGAAACTTTTGCTTAGTTTACATGTATTAGTTTGTGATTAGGTCAGTTCAAGGGGAACCATTAGTGGTAGGCCAATGTTAATTGGTATGCAATTGTATAAGCATTAGCACATCTCATTTCCATAGAGAATATTTAGTCCCACTCCCTCAGTAATGGTCTATTGACTTTGAAACTTTTGCTTAGTTTACATGTATTAGTTTGTGATTAGATCAGTTTAATGATATTTGGTATGCAGATTTATTGGCATTTGCAAGTCTCGTTTCCATGGAGATTATATAGCCCCAGGCCACCCCCTCATCATGGTTCTTTGACTTTGAAACTTTTACATAGTTTACAAGTCAATGTTTGTGTTTAGGTTTGTTGAAAGGGAACGACTTATGATAATTCTATGGTATTTGGTATGCAGTTGTATTAGCGTTGGCATATCTCATTTCCATAGAGATTGTTTTGCTATGTACCTTCAGTCATGGTTCATTGACTTTGAATATTTGCATAACTTACATGTTAAAGTATTGCTATTTAAATTTCAACATTTGCATTATCAAAAGTACAAAAAGGCGAGACATATCTCTGTGTTAACAGTTTATGTTTGAATTATTTTACATTTTTCGTTTCATGGCCTTTTATAGCTTATTATACGATAATGGGTTTTGCTCATTGTTGAAGGCCATACTGTGACCTATAGTTTTTAACTTCTATGTCATTTGGTCTCTGGTGGAGAGTTGTATCATTGGCAATCATACAACAGCTTCCTCTTTTTATGTTAAGCTTATTTTGAAGTTTTGTTGTATTTTTTCACCTAGAACACCACTTTGAATGATGCATACCATAAAAACGAAGTTTGTGACCCTAATATTATTTTACATCATTAAAACGGAAATGTATATTTTTTGCATCATTAAAAAGGAAATGTATATACCAACAACATATCCTTTTTTAAGAAAAAAATTATGGATATGAAATGGAAGATTTGATCATTTTAAGTCAAATTTAAGAATGTTTTTCTTTGATTTCATGTGCTTTCTGTACAAAGGTTCACCTAGTTTGAAAGAATTCAGTCATTTATATTTCAGAAAATTAAAAAGATAAATGCATTATTCTTTTAGATTTTCAGTTACAGTTCAATGAGAGCTGTTTGCAAAATTTTACCAAAATCTGTGACATAGCCCATTTACTGTACCTTGACCTTAAATGAAAAACTTGGAATATAATAGCTATAAAAGTATAGCAAGAAACATACTGGTCAAAATTATATGAAAGATCAAATTATTTTGCATTGGTTAATTGAATGGTAATACAAATGTAATGCATTTTTAATTATATGTTTAAAAATAGTGATTGTTTATTTTAAGAACTGATGTTTGGAAAATTAATGAATTCTAAAAACTGTTTTTCATATTCTGTGTATACTGACGCATTTAAAGCCATTGTTATGCTTTAATGTTTAATTCACTTATTACACTTGTTTCAAAGTAGTTGGCTAGTGAGATACATTCTAAATTGTATTCTTTTCTTTATAATATCGATTATTTTGTGAGTTATATAGTACTTGGTTTAAATTTTTTCATTTTATGCCAATTCATTATCTTTTTATTCCACAGTTTAAACATCATACAATAATACTGGAAGGCAGAGCTAGACGATATTATGAAAGAAATTTGAAAAATAAGATATTTTCTGTTTGGAGTGACTGGGCATGTCAAGAAGTTCTAGATTTTATAAATAAAGATCAGAAAGCAAGGGAATACTATATTTGGTAAGTTGTATATAGCTCTGATAAATGAAAGTAAGAGACAATGCATAATTTTTGTCTCGCCTGCGACGAAAGTCGCAGAAAGTGAGACATAGGTATTACTATCTGGCGACGGCGGCGTAAACTATTTGTATAAAGCTTTATATTTCAGAAGGTAGAAGACCTGGATGCTTCATACTTTGTATGCAGATACCTTATGTTACGAACTTTCCGTCTGTCATATGTCCAATGTCCTTGACCTTATTTTCATGGTTCAGCGACTGCTTGAAAAAAAAGTTTAGTTTTTCTGTTATGTAAATTTCTCACTTATTATGAGTAATAGGATAACTATATTTGGTATATGGGTTCCTTGCAACGTCTACATGTCCATCAGACAGGGTTCACCTGACCTCAGCCTCATTTCATGGATCAGTGATCAAGGTTAAAGTTACGTGATTAGGTCCGTTTCTCAGATACTACAAGCAGTAGGTCAGCTATATGTGGTGTATGGAATGATTATAAGGGATACATGTCAGTCTGGCAGGTTTCATCTGACCTTGACCTCATTTTCACGGTTCATTGGTCAATGTTAAGTTTTTGTGTTTTGGTCTGTTTTTCTAATACTATAAGCCATTGGTCAACTATATTTGGTGTATGGAATGATTGTAAGGTGTACATGTCTGTCTGGCAGGTGTCATTTGTCCTTGACCTATTTTCATGGTTCATTGGTCAATGTTAAGTTTTTGTGTTTTGGTCTGTTTTTCTAATACTATAAGCAATAGGTCAACTATATTTGGTGTATGGAATGATTGTAAGGTGTACATGTCTGACTGGCAGGTGTCATTTGTCCTTGACCTCATTTTCATGGTTCATTGGTCAATGTTAAGTTTTTGTGTTTTGGTCTGTTTTTCTAATACTATAAGCAATAGGTCAACTATATTTGGTGTATGGAATGATTATAAGGTGTACATGTCTGTCTGGCAGGTGTCATTTGTCCTTGACCTCATTTTCATGGTTCATTGGTCAATGTTAAGTTGCTCTTGTTTGGTCCTCTTCTCAGATACTATAAGTTATAGGTCAACTATATGTGGTGTATGGAATGATTGTAAGGTGTGCACGTCTGTCTGACAGGTTTCATCTGACCTTGAGCTTATTTTCATGGTTTATTGGACAATGTTAAGTTTCTGTTGTTTGGTCTTCTTCTCAGATGCTATAAGTAATAGGTCAACTATATTTGGTGTATGGAATGTATTTAATTATTTAACTGCTGATTACTCACATTGAAATAGATTATTTTATAAAAATCTTTAAATAACATTAATAATGATAATAAATAATAAAAACTTTTAAGGGATCATTACTAAACCGTGATTAACAAAAACATTGGAAGGTGTGAAAATGTTAAAATAAGGTCACTCATGCATGAATGTTTAACATAGAATACAGTTCACTCCAGTCCCTTCATAAAGATTAATTGGCTGAATATGTACAGATTGAAGAACTTTTGAAATTTTGTTTGCACAACAGAATCACATTTACTGATTTTTGATACATATGAAATAAGATAAGTATTGAGATAAGTAATAAATATTTTAGCATAGCAACATAAATAGATAAATAGATAATATGAAAATATGACTTTTTACAATATTTTGATCAAAGATTGAAGATAATTTTAGTTTTTTTTTTTTTTTTTTGGGGGGGTGGGGGGGTCTTTCAGGTTCATCTCAAGGAATTGACAAATATTTATCCAGTTTCTGCAATGCCTTAAAACTTTTCCTTGTCTTGGTTAATGTTAAGTTTATGTGACAGTTGTAATAAAACTTTATATTTTATAGGACTATCAACATAATATCAGTAATTAGTAAAGAAGGCGAGACATTTCAGTGTGTGCACTCTTGTTTAAATACAATCAAGTCTTTGAATGCTAGAACGTAAACTTTTAGAAATAAATAGTATGGGATCATGAAAATGAATTCAAGCCGGACATGTGTTTAACTGTAAATTAAGAACAAACTACAATATGATTGAAAAATAAAGTACTTGACTATGTAGATTTATCTATTCAGAACACAATTGAGGCATTGTTATACATTTGTTTAAGTGAGGTCACCACCTTGTTTACATGTGTTTATATTACATGGTTATTGACCTTATTTGAGGGTAATACCATTTTTGAACTGGAGAGTGAGGGTAAAAGTTTGAATCTGCTGGTAAAAAAACAGCTGTTATCTTTAGAACATAGTCAACAATTATTGTATTGTACCTTTTGAAACTGCCTTTTTTGGCTTGATTTTAATAAGTGATCAAATGCAAGCAGTCAGATCATAGATGTGATGTTAGATCAAAGGTCAACTGTTGCCATGTGACTGTACTTTTTTTGAAAAAGGATTCAGATATTTTCTTCAAAAAAAGTAAAAATGTAATTTATTTTACATGTATGATAAATGGGCTGCAGACCTTTTTATGCCAAAGGCTATTTTTGAGATTTATTATTTGCACCAAATTACATGTATATGTATTTGCCAATAAACCTATGTTTACCTGTTACATATATCAGTCCTAAACAAACAAAAACAAAAGAAAAGACAAGTAAAAAAGTTTTATCTTATTTTCTATGTTAGTTTACAAAATTGATTGTTATGAATATGTGAAAGTACAGTTGTAGTATCATTCAGGACTGGGGAAATGTAGGAAATGAGATGGATATATTATTTTATAATAGGATGTAATTTTTATTTCATCAGGTGAAATTCAATTAAAGCTTGTTCTGGTTATATTTATTGAAGATTAATAAATCTAATTTCAATTTTCCTTACAATTTGTTTACTGTCTGAGTGATGTTTACCTCATATTTCTTTTCATATTTAACAATATTTTCTTAAGTATACTTAATTTCTGTATTCCTTCAGGAAATTGAAGCAGAAGTCTTTTGATGCAATAAGAACATTCCCAGAAGAAGAGAAAAAAGAAAAAGAACGAGTGAAAAGAATATCTGAAATGAGACAAAAGGTGGCAGCACTGTTACCAGATTTTTCTGCATCATCTCTTAAAGAATCAAATGATATTTTATGAATGGATTAATGATACAATTTAGTAATTATTTATATTATTTAATACATACTTAATAAAAAAATGTCTTTTTTTTTTAATATGCATTAGTAAAATCTAGCTATCTAACAGTTGATATATTTTTTACGCCTAATGGGTTGTTGTGTCCATCACATTTTACTGTGTCATTATCCAAATCTCATCTAAGTGGTGGGGGTTTGCATTGAAACCTTTTATCAGGATTATCATGTCACCAAGAAATGTAAAAACCTGAAATAGATTAGTATTTACACTTTAAAAGCAGATTCTTCTGTAGCGTTTGGAATTTTGCCCTAAAGGTGTGAAAATAAATATTTATTTATATCTAGAAGGTGAGACATTACACAGTGCCTTTAGTTTTCTTTCCTTTTTTGTACATATAAAACACAGAAGCCAAATCTTACTCTGTAATAGAAAAACAAAGGAAATGGTGTATCCATCCATGACACAAAATCAGGACAGAGCAAAAAACTCACAAAAAGCAAAGGAATAGAGCTTTAATTGCGAAGCAGAAAAACTCTTACCTCACTGCAAGTTTAAGATGGAGCCCCTAGCACCAGTTTGAGTGGATTTTTTTGCAAACTGAAATAATTTGGGTAGACTGTAAAATATAACACCACCAAATTGGGCCTAGCCAAAAAGAATATACTGGAAAGTAGTACATATTTAACACAAAATAGTACCTACGCACAGGTGTAAATATCAAACTATGTAGAATATATTTTGGTAAATTAGGTATCAAATGAAAGGTGAAGGACTGGTGATCCTTGTAGAATACCTTGTGAAAGGTGAAGGACTGGTGATCCTTGTAGAATACCAAATGAAAGGTGAAGGACTGGTGATCCTTGTAGAATACCTTGTGAAAGGTGAAGGAATGGTGACCCTTGTAGAATACCAAGTGAAAGGTGAAGGACTGGTGATCCTTGTAGAATACCTTGTGAAAGGTGAAGGACTGGTGATCCTTGTAGAATACCTTGTGAAAGGTGAAGGACTGGTGATCCTTGTAGAATACCAAATGAAAGGTGAAGGACTGGTGATCCTTGTAGAATACCAAGTGAAAGGTGAAGGACTGGTGATCCTTGTAGAATACCTTGTGAAAGGTGATGGACTGGTGATTCTTGTAGAATACCTTATGAAAGGTGAAGGACTGGTGATCCTTGTAGAATACATTGTGAAAGGTGAAGGACTGGTGATCCTTGTAGATTACCAAATGAAAGGTGAAGGACTGGTGATCCTTGTAGAATACCTTGTGAAAGGTGAAGGACTGGTGATCCTTGTAGAATACCTTGTGAAAGGTGAAGGACTGGTGATCCTTGTAGAATACCAAATGAAAGGTGAAGGACTGGTGATCCTTGTAGAATACCAAGTGAAAGGTGAAGGACTGGTGATCCTTGTAGAATACCTTGTGAAAGGTGAAGGACTGGTGATCCTTGTAGAATACCAAATGAAAGATGAAGGACTGGTGATCCTTGTAGAATACCTTATGTAATGCCTTGATTAGTGTTAAGAATAATTTGTGACATATAAACACTTTCAAGCACATGTAACAGGCTTATAGATGGTTTTGGCATTCATCTCAACCATCTGTCGATCTCTGTCATGATACTATCCACCATTTAAACATGATTCAATTTGAGGTTATGATGGTACTTATGATGCATGGTATATAACTCAAAAAATGAAATTGGAATTTTACACCAAAGAAAGTTGCAATATACTTCAACAGAGAAGGTATAAAAATATCCAGTTTTAACATAAAAATGATATATATAAAATGTGTTAACAGTATTTCCAGTAACAGTCCTAACTCATAAAATATTTCCTGTGTACAACTAAATCTTTTTGTCAGTAATGATGTAACTTGTTATGATAGTTTTCCACCACAAGAAAAAGTACTACGACTTAGGATGAAATGTCCTATCTATCTTATCAAGGTCACAGGTACATGTATCAGATAGTCATTTCTGACTTGTTATTTCCTAATTGCTTTTCTTCTTACTGATGTCTAGTATAAGTGGTCTCACCACCCGACTGCCAGACCCTCATGGGTCATCAATGTTGTTTAACACCAATGTTGTAGTCTCTCACCAGAAGATTTGTTATTGAAAGATTTGAATGTCCAACTGTAAAGATAAAGTTATGAGCTAGTTTGTAAAATAACAATATAAATATGTAAATATGGACAAGTTCTTAAGATATAAACTTTCAACCTCTTGAATAGGATGTTTTCTATCACAAGACAATAAGGCTGAATCATTTAAGAAACAATTCAAATTAATGTTTGTAATTTGGTTTTAAGCAAATAACCTTTCTCACATGAAAAATATGAGTCAATTTGAAAAACAACAGTTGGGAAAATTCATCTTGATCTAAAATTTGAAGAAGATAGTTATCTATAAAAGTTCATGGACCTTGAATGTTAAATTTATGAAAGGGATTGTTTTGTTATTTTGTAAGATGTTAATCATTTTAACACTAAGTCACTGTTCATTTCTATACAAAGTACACAGTATTTCTTATCCTATATTATCTAGATATTATCTAGATGTATCCTGGTACTCAAAAGTACACACTTGACAATTAATACATATAGATAAAGAAAAGTAAAAGATGTACAACAGCTTTTATGAAGTGTGTTTCCATTGTTATTTAGTTTATAAGAGTTGGTGACCTTGGTCTATCAAAAAACATGTCACTACCTTTTATACTGAAAATATGTTTTTTCAGAGCTGTTTTCAACCAATGACACAGAGTTTTGCAGCCAATTTTGATACGACATATTTTATCATTATTGTAGTTCATTAAAAAATGTATACAGAGGATAAATACTTTGGATATTTAATAAAAAAGAAATAAAAATAAAATGTAATACTGTATATGTAGAACTTTGTTTTGTAACAGGAGGGGCCTTGATGGCCGAGTCGTCTAGGATAGCCAGTTTTCTTCTGTGGGTATTAAGTGGCACTCTGGCTTCTTTCACCAATAATAACTGTCCAGCACCATATAGCCAAAAGTGCCCAAAGTGGTGTTATACACCAACAATCAATCAAGCAATCAATACTGTGACAGAATAAGATACTTTAAACAGTTTTATTTTACTCTTAAAAAAGATTTTGGTTCAGCATGAATTCAACCCCCTCCCTCTAATCAAATCATGAGTCTATGCCGTGGTTTACCATTTTTTATTGTTATCAAAAGTTGGAAAATGCACTCATAAGTGCACACATTATGTTTTTAAATTATAAAGGGGAACCAGTTTCATGAGTTGGCAGTTCAGGTTCTGTTTAATTGGTTTGTTAAAAAAAGCAACATCACAATGATATGTATTTAATACTATAGAAGTGATACTCATAAAACTAAAGTCCTTAATTGAACAGCTTTAAATAAAATTAAATATTTTACAAATCTTAGGCAAGCCGTATTTCTTTTTATTTTAACTTCAAGATATCTCATATAATATACAAGATATCTCATGGAATATACAGTGGGATATCCAGTGAACGAAAACAAAAATTCACTTTTCTTATGATAGAGTCGAGAAAGTAAACAATAAAACAATACCGGTGACGATACTGATCAAAAGTTATTTCTAAATAATAGTTGTACATTTTAGAGAAATTATTTGTTAAACTGTGCTATTAGAAATATACATGCAAATACATGACATTTTATGTTCAGTATTTATCGAGATAATTGCTTTAGAAGCTTGTGAAACTGAAATTTAAAAAATGCCAATCTTTGCTGTATATTGATAAAAAAAATTGGAAAAAATCATGTACATACAAAATCAAAAGATCTTTCGGGTCACCAATTTTCGGAGTGTTCCAAAAAGTCATTAGCATGTTACAATTTCCCAAAGTAGGCTTATCTTTTTCACATCTAAGTTATCGAACACACCGGTCTGTTCTTCTCACATGTACATTCAACTAAGAAATACTGTCTTTCCGTGAATATAAAAATTTAAAAGCATGTCTGTGCAGGTTAAAAAAAATGAAGATAACTATTTTTTTAAAGCAGGTATCTTTCAAATATTTTGTAAACAATTCAAAGAAAAGGTCGTCTCGAGTTTTGTACAAGTATTTGCGGTCTTCTCGATTTATTCACATTCAATGTTTACATGAGATAAGGTCTGTTTGAATTTGCTTAGTAACTTAATTTCAAAAGTGTCAATCTTTGCTGCATATCAATCGATTCCTTTGGAATTTTTTCCCCGACTTTCTCTGTTCTAGCTGTATATCTATACAAATAATTAACATGTAATTAAATTGAAGTTGGTACTCCAGGAATTTATTCGCATAGCAAAATTTTAACCAATTTTATATCAAGCTTCTACAGCCTGCTGTACTCGTCGTTTGCTACTTAAGGAGGAAAATGATAACATTGAGTGGAAGTTTTGTTTTTATTTCAACTTATTTCTATTTTTACTATTTACCAGAACGTTTTTCTGTGAATCCATAATTGATAGCGTCCTTGCTAAAATGGGACAAACATTGAGAAGATCTAGTTTTCAGTGTTTACAGTGAAGGTAATATTTTGTCACTAAGATATCTTATATAATCTAGTATTTATAAAGGTATAAGATATCAAGAAAATTATATAATATATCTTATGAACTTTACAAGATATCGTATAAAGTTTAGAAGATATCTTATAAAGTTTAGAAGATATCTTATAAAGTTTAGAAGATATCTTATAAAGTATATAAGATATCTTATAAAGTATATAAGATATCTTATAAAGTATATAAGATATCTTATAAACTTTATAACATATCTTATAAAGTTTTTGAGATATTTTATAAACAATATAAGATATCTTATAAAGTTTATCTTGAAGTTAGAATAAATAGTAAAACGGCTTGCCATTAATGCAAAACAACCAGAAAGACCAATTTGTAATATAAATGGATGCATTCAGTTTTATAACATGAAGAAAGATTATTTAAATAGATGATGCAAGGATTTTTTTATTTATTTTTAGGCTGTTTATTTTTCAAATTGCTCTATTGACAACTGATTTGATTGTTATTCATTCCACCACTAGCTCGGGGGAGGGGATCACCTTACTTCGTGTTGAGTGGTAGTAATGAGCCACTGGAATAGTTAACATTTTTAAACTTAATAATATATGATAAGGTTGAGAAATTATGATGAAATACATCATAAGGTTGATGATTAAATCAAAAGTATCTGAAAATAATCAGATTTAGATATTTTTCACAGCTGCAATTAAAACCATGCACAGTCATTAATACATAAGATATTTGTCAAATCTATTTATCCCTCCATGAAATAGTGTAATCAAGATAGCTATAGATTTATTTATTAGGGAGGGGCAAGATCTTTCCTGTTAAGGTATTTTAGGCATTTTTATACTTTTGTTTACTGTTAAATTGAAAATATATGTGCTGTTAACTGTTATTGACTAATTAGCTGTAATCCGTTTTTTTTTAAATTTACATTGTTGTTAACTGTTATTATGAAAAAAATTACCCTCTGTTCACTTTTTTTTTTATATTTGAATAACTGTTTTCTGTTTTCTCAATTAAGAGCATTTAAATTGCTGTTATCGGTTATCAGTATTTTTAATTTACTGTTAACTGTTTTGAGCAAAATCAAAAATTGTTAACCTGTTAATGGACCCCCTCTTCTTGCCCCTCTCTTTATTGTCAAACAATAATGACTAGGTAAAAAACGTATTTTTCAAAATATATGAAAAGTACTGGATGTCCCAGCTGCTCATCCCTACCAAAAAGGATTGAAGTGACCCCCTCCGTTTTGAGATCACTAGATATTTATTTCAAGAAATGATTGATTGTGTTTAAGCAGAGACATATATACACATGGTTTAAGACACTAACTGAACTTGTACACTAAATGTTTAATACGAAGTGTTATGTCTAACATGTAATGCTAAATCTGATTTAATGGTATACATATGGTAAATGATATTGTTCCTTCCAATCATAACTTACGATGGTATTTGGCAGATAACTAGTTTACCTGTCACTGTACAGCCCCTAAAAAACATCTAAAAAATCTAAAGAACAAAATGAAAATGAAAAAACAAACGATAAATTTTATCAATTTATCAAGCCTATAATCTATAATGCACAAACTATGATTAAACAACAAAATCGGTACTATAGTCAATATAAGAAATGGAAGTTGTAAAGGGATAAATTGATACGAGTGCAGCCTAAAATTTTCAGTAGCTGGTACATTATCTTTATTACTTGAGAAATTCAGGGTGATTCAGGTTTATTACTGCATACAAAGCTGATACAAAACGTACTTCCTTCCTTTACGAGATTAACTATATCAACTATCATGACTATAATACGTTGTTAAAATGAAACCAGTTTTAAAATGATAAATAGCATCATAAAAAGGAAGGGCTAATTTCTTCTGAATTTATTTAATGGCAGGGCCATTTTTTAAGCCCAATCTCTACTTTAATTCTCAGTATCAAAGCTGTATGTAGGAACTT